AACTGGCGCAAAGAGCTCAACATGAAATTTCAGCCAGTCGCTGCTAGATAATAATATTATTAAGGCAACAAGTAAACCAACTCATATGAGTACACACTCACAAGAGAGTTTGCTAGGCGAGAGTTGTCGACTAGAAAATACCCTGCACCAACTATATATCCCTATAAGAAGCTAAACACCTCAGCTGTACTTCTTCTATTCTCAGCCATACTTTTCTTAAATATGTAATTTTGAGTATTGTAGATATACCCTGCTTAATCTTCATGCATTTGGCTTGACTTAGCCGACTAGGAAATGCCCTACATCAAGAATATATCGCTATACAGAAGCTATTCCCAGCTGTGCTTCTTCTATTCTCTGCTCTACATTTCCTCAATTTTAATTTCGAGTATCTCAAATATAACTTGATTAATCTTTAGGCATTTGGCTGGGCTTGGCCAGCGGATAGGGGAATCTATAATGCAAAAGAGTGTATTACCAATAAGCCATAATGGAACCTACAAAATCGCTTTCTTTCTACACATCTTAAAAATGTCCCATCTAAAGGGATCTTCGCGTGCTTTACAGCCTCTGGCACAGGGTATTACAGCGTTACGAGCGCGCAAGATGTTCTGGATAGGAGCTAACTTGAAAATTGACAAGTATATTTGTTTAGGCTGCCGCTCACGTCGCCGTCGAGTCAGCTCCTATAGAAGCCGCTCGTCCAATGTTGAGTGACCTTCCCATGTCCGTTGACGACGCCGCACTCATAGTAAGCAGTGAAATACGACGGTGCAAGTTTAATATGCTATATGCTACTGCTAGCGAGCATACCTGTACACAGGTGAACATGTTCAAGACTGCGAACTGAGCGTATTGAAGGGCCACTCATTACGATAAATAATTCATTGTAGATCTATATCGAGAATCATGCGGTAATCGCCTTGTAATGCTCGGCTTCCTGGTGAGGTGCGTGAGGCGTGGGGGCCAGGCAGGCAGGCAGGCTGTCAGAAAAAAGGCAGGTTGCATTTTAAAATGCATGGCATAAAATATGAAATTCATTTCGTTGCACCCACACACAGCTCGTGTGGCCAATTGTTTATAGCATTCGCAGTTGCGAGCGGTTCTAATTATGGTGTTCCATGACCATTGCCAATTGATAAAGCTCAAACTCTTTTTGATTGTGCCAGGAGTGCGCTCGTTGAGAGTGCCCAACACGAAGATACCCTGTACCCAGGCGCTACTTGCTCCAAACTTTCTTCTAAACATAGACAAAATCAAGATCATATTTATATACATACTTATATACTCTGATTATCTTCATTTCCCTACTCCACACTCGTAAAATGTATTCTCAAATAACTCGCCTGTTAATAGACCGATCTTTATGCAATTTGTATAGGTTAAAGATGACATTAAAGTGTACGTAAAACACGTTTTATTCAATTCAAAATATTCTTGAATTACCAACAAAATGTTGTGTATCTACATTCCATAATATCCCAAATATGCCAAAATAAAAACTGCGGCTGAAAATCGATATTTATCGTTATCAGAGAAACGGAGATTTATCGCTAGTTTTAAGTGAAATGGATTTGCGTTTGATACACGCATATAAAACAAGTTTGAACAGACGTACATGGCGTCTCAGCCGTCGATCCTGATCAAGACTATATATATATATATATATATATATATATATATATATATATATATATATATATATATATATATATTCATTATTGAAATCGTGTTTTTCATTTATCCCTTTCGTACCTATTTCCCATGCGTAGGGTACAAAAATGTACTTTCTAAACACTTGAAAAGGTAAAACACATGTTGATATATGTGTCATTGCTGATATGCTCAATTTATACACACATACCAATGTGTATATATGTATGCTGTATGTATGCATGAATATTTATTGAACGCCCACGCAGCGAAGGTCCTACCAAATTAGTCAAGTAATCTAAGATAAGATACAACTAAATACAGATATTTATGCATTATTTGTTATCTTGCGGTAAACAGAGCATTTCAGCTGGCCCAAATAGTAAAGAAATCAAATGTAGAACAGAAAAATTCAAACCCAAAGAAACATTAAAAATTCGTATCGAATCATACTTATGTATATACATATAATAAACATACATACACACAAACACACACATGCACAAGTGTCAAAAAAATCCATCGCACATGGACTGCGATGTGCTCTATAAATACATGCATAAGCGATGATTGAATGCGTGGGGGTAGAGGGGGGCGCGGGTGGCCAAGGTACTAGCGGAGTGGCGGCTGCTGCACAACGCACACAGCTGTCATTATCAGTGTGAATAGAATGTAAGTTAAATCTAAGCAAAGAACAAATACAAAATTTGTAGCAAGCCGCATATCAACAAGCATTCACAGGGCCCACGCACTCACACTCACACACACACACACACACGCACACATATGCTTGCGGAAAAATGCGGTCGTTTTGCAGTATGGTTTATAAACTTACCTGTCTATATACAATGTATATCTTTAACTCGAGCCAATTTTTATGTATATTCTAATGTGTCAATTCCGAATTTTTTTTTAAATAGCAGCTGCGTTTGGAGCAGCGAGATTGCACTCGTTTAATGATGTTCAAGTTGGAGCTGCGGCTGGCGGTGCGGCAGTGGGTGCGGATGCGGCGGCAGCAATCTATTAAACACTCTGTGAGGCTGCGAGATAACGGCAAGTATTGATTGCACTGCAATAATCTTCTCTTTGGACACAAAATATAACATTTAAGGCATCAGCATCATCAGCTTGCGGCGTCGGCGACGGAGCGGCAATGTGGTGGTGAATTTGGTTAAAAACCATGCACGAAAATAGCACCAACACGTTGTTGCGCGCACAATTTCTGAGTGTTTAGGCTAATTGATGGCGCATCGAGAACCCCAGCACATATATTTTAATATTTAAATAAATGCCGAATTACATTGCACGCAAGCTCCAACAAAAATTCGCAATTAAAAAAAAAATATGACTGCTTCTTCTTATATAATGCCATTCACATGACAATCAAAATGCGAATGGGAGCGAGAGAGAGCTCTGTTATGTTAAATCCATGTTATGTTAGGTGACATTGAACTTTAACAGACTGTAATGTAATGTGCGCCATATATGAAAAAACTATGAATAATAATTAATTGCAAAATAACAAAAAAATGAACTGAAAAGTAGAGTTTATCAACAATTTTGGTTCTATTATAAAGGAATATTAGCAATAAAGAAAGTTTTGATTTTAGCAATAATTTTGTATTTGTTACTTTAAAGAATGGGACAACACTGTCCGAATTCCAAACAAAGACGCAAACGCATGTGTATATGTATGTAAATTACATTTTGCAAGGCGTATGTGCACAGCATGAGTTCCTGGCGTGAAAATATCACCAGTTTACCGAGCGCAGTTGCGCAATTTGTCAACGAAAGCGCTTCAACCGCGTCCACTTACCTGCACTCAGCACATTCAGGGTCGGGCACTTCTGTCTCTGAGGAGAGCGCTCCACAACACACAGACTTCAAGGCGTTGCCCATACCCGCATCGCTGGTGAAGGAGCAGTGGCGACTGATCTTCACATCTGATGCCAACATACAGGACTTGCAGGCGGCCATTGCGCATTGCCGCGATCTGGTCTTGTTGAGCGATGAATGCAGTGAGGAACGCCGTTGGCTTGTACGTCATTTGGTGGACCTACGTTATTCGCTTCAAGAGTTGGAGGAGGCGCAGGCTATTTCAAGCGACGATGTGGTGCTGATGAACGCCATCAAATCCGTCGTCGGTCATCATTTTGTGCCACACTACCCAAGCGCACGCAACCGCCTGCAAGCGGCTGCCAAGCGTTACTATTGCGACCACTGCACGGGCATCATCTGGCGGGTGGTGCAGGCGGCCTACATATGCAGCGATTGCAGCTATCTGGTGCACCAGAAATGTATTGACAGCGTGCAGCGCGTTTGTGCCCATGTTCTGGCTTCCGAACGTCAGTATCCCGTCGCCGAGATCTGCCCCGAAATTGGCCTGGCGGCGCAGCGCTACAAGTGTGCCGAGTGCTCGACGCTACTCAATTTCAGTAAGTCCTGAAGAGTCTTCAGTCGCAGGTTACTCACATCATCTGCTTGCAGAAAATTCGTGGATTGAACCGCGTCTGTGCGATTATCGCGGTCTCTATTACTGTCCGTCGTGCCATTGGAATGATAGCTTTATAGTGCCAGCGCGTATTGTGCACAACTGGGATTTCACGCCACGCAGAGTATCGCGCACAGGTCTACAGGAGATACAGTTGTTCGTAGACAAGCCGCTCATCCGGCTGGAGGAGGAGAATCCCAAGTTATTCGTATTTCTCGAAAAACTGTGCACCGTTAAGAAATTGCGCCAGAATCTCGTTCATATGCGTCACTACCTGGCCGCCTGCAAAGTGGCCGTTGAGCAGAAGCTCGTTGACCAACAGCTGGGCAGACGCCGGCACTTGGCCCAGTCCAATGAGTTCTACTCCATTGGCGATCTCGTACAGGTGGAATCGGGCGTCTTGGCCGATTTCCTGCAGGGCGTCTTCAAGGCATTTGACGTACACATACGTCGCTGTGACATGTGCCTGGCCAAGGCGTACATCTGTGAAATCTGTAGCAACAACGAGGTCATATTTCCCTTCGACGATGGCTGCATCAAGTGCGACCAATGCAACTCTATATACCATCGTGTGTGCTTGACACGCAAGAACATGATCTGCCCGAAATGTGTGCGTATCCAGGAGCGTCGTTTGCAGCTAGAGCGTACTGCAAGCAAGCAGGCGGATAAGGAAATTGATATCAATGCCAACGATGCCTCCGATGAAGTGCAGCCGGCGAACACCACGTAACCCGGTCACTTTAAAATGTTGTGTTTTTAACTCGTATCTGTGTAATATTGTTATTTTTAATGTATATGTACATAAGACCGTCTCGTAGAGGCGAGTACTAAATATATATATAATAATATTTGCCCATCCTTTATATGCAGTCTGTTCACTGCGATTTCTTGCCATACTTTTGCCGATTGTGAAACTTGCGTGGATTAATGCCATACGCCTTGAGGCGGTCGTCGCTAATGCCATTGGGATTGGAGTTATTCGGCTTACCTTTCGCCTTGAAGTCGTGCTTTGAACGTGGTTTGGTCGCCGCACCGCCTGGTCGACGCGGCGCATCGTCTTTCTTACCTGGTTTCCTGAAGGGATTTGCGCCCGATGCTTGCCCAACTGCATCCTGTTTTGGCGTTTGCTGTTTGTTAAACGGATTGGCACCGGGACTCTTTTGCTTTTCATTATTTTTGTTAAACCGATTTGCAGCTGGACTCTTTTGATTTACAGTATTTTTGTTGGGTAGTTGCTTTTTGGCAAAAGGATTTTTCGAGTTGACTTTATCCGTTTCTTGTTTTGCCTTATGCGGCTCTTTTCCTCCCATCTGTTTCTTCTTAGCTGGTGTCGAAGTTTGTGCATTTTGCTGCTCTGCATTCTCAATCCTCTTCTTTTTGGAAGGTGTTGCATCTGGCGTCGTTGTATGTTCCTCCTTAATTGAGTCCATGCTCACCTCATTTCCAGTTTTTGATGGTGCTGTTGGGCTCTTTGCAATTGCCGCTGCTGCAGCTTTACGCTTCAGTCGTTTTCTCTTGGACTTTGATAGGGTCTCTGTGGGAATTTGGTCCGCCACTGGCGCAGCGGACTGCTCATTGGAGTCAGTTTTTGCGGCTGGTTGTGTTTCATTTTGTGCTCCTGTTTCCTCTTCATCTTCCGAACTGCCATGAAGATAGACAAAATTTAAATTTAGTCATCATAAGATTATATTTACGCTCTTCTACTTACGCATCACCGTATAAGCTTTTGAAAATTTTTCGTTTAAGATCCTCGTTCTTGGCTTTCAGTTTGTACAAGCGCTGCTCTTTTTTCTCCACATATTCTGGACGGTTTTGTACTGCCTTCTTCAGGCTAGCCCACTGATTCAACTCTTTGTTCTTAGCCAACAAGATCTGGAAGTAAACAGAGAGCTATTGAAAGCATTCTACCAGGACACATTGCCAACGGCTTACCTCTTCGATCGTTAGACCAAAATCATTTGGAGTCGTTTCGACGTATTTAAAGCGACATGGCTGGTCGCCTACAATATCCTCATAGTCCAGTTGGTAGTATTCATCGATGTATTCCCCATAGGTTTGCTCATCCTCCGGATTAAACGCGGGCTTTTCCGCTTGGATCATTTCCATGAACCGGTTGCGGCGTCCTTTGCGACTCTTTCGACTGCGGGTATTCTCAATCAGTTCCTGCTGCAGCTGCTGCTTGGACGTGAGTGGATCATAGTCACAGTCCATATTGAAATCATCATCTTCGCAATGCGCCTCGTTATTAACACCATTGGTTTGCCGTGGATCATAGTTGTCCCAGTCCTCAATGGCCAATTCTTCGATATCCGAAGGGCACTCTGGCTTCTCTTCTCCTTCGTCCACACCATAGTACTCGTCATTGAAGAGTTCTTGCATGCGACGGTCGTGTGCTTCTGGATCGAAATCCTCTTCCAGTTCATCATCTTTGAAGCCCAGCTCATCGTTTCCCGTGACGGCCTTTAGTTTGCGTATCTTCTCCTCTATTTCCTTACGCTTCATGTCCTTTATCAGATCCAGTTCCTTCATTTTTTGCAGCTTCTCCTGCTCTTTACGCTCCTTTATCTCCTTACGTTTTTCCTTTCGCGTGTCGTCCGTACGTCGAATCGACTGCTCAATAGTTCGGGGATAACGTTTGATAAAGTCCGCGTCCGGCTCTTCGAAACGAAAGTTATACTTTTGCTCAAACTCTGCCTGCTTCTCAAGCTCCTGTTCATCATCTGACAGCGGTGCGTTGTCGCCCACGATCTCGTCATAGGTGGGTATTTCGGATGCATTCGTATTGGCATAACCCTTGTTCAGTATATAGTCGCGTAGAAAGCTCTCGCCTTGGGTAAGCTTGTTACTGCTCCAGTACTGCTTCAGCGGGGCCAACTGTTGCTGAGCGCTGGCCTCAATCTCCGCATCTGCCTGTTTGCCAGCCAGCCATTTGGCAAAATCTGCCTCCTCGGCGTCCGTTTGCGCCTGGGTTTTCGTACGCTTCTTAAAGATACCTCCAAATTCCTCATCTTCTCCATCATCCTCCTGGTTCATTACGCTCCTAAATTCTGCCTTTAAGCGCCGCTCCTCTTCCACAGCTGTGGGCGAACGTGCACGTTCAAGATGCTCGTCCGTCTGCTGTTGCTCATCGTCAGAGCTTTCAAATTTGCCATTATGCTCCAAGATAACTTTTCGTTCGTAGTCCTTTAACGTTACAGGCTTGCTCTTCTTATTGGATTTCTTTTTGGCCGAATCTTCGTCCTCACTGCTGGCGCTGTTCTCCTTTTGGTTAAAGAAACGCGTCTCCTTGTCGTATATTCGAGGATCTTTGCTTTTCAATGATGCCAGAGTTTTAAAAAACTCTTGATCAAATTTAACGTCTACTTCATCCTCATCCGACGACTCGCTGTCACTGTCCAGCTCAGACTCTGAGATTTCTAGGCCCCGATCCTTATCTACAACAAAAAATATATATTAGAGATATGTTTGATCGTTATTTAGATCATTAGGTAGTTTACACTTCTGCAACAGTTCCTTCTTGCGTAAAACATTATATGACTTGGCGTAGTCCTGGTTAGTGGATATCTGCAGATCGTCCGCGTCGTCGTCTGAGCCATCGAACAATTTGTTACTCATATTTAACGCTATTTCTTTTATATTTATTGATAATAAGCCAGCACGTGTGTTGATTAAGTACACTCAAACTGGTTCCGTATACCAAAATGAACTATTCTTTTTGTTATGCCGAAACCTGCGTGGTTCCGCTTGCAGCCCTGGTTAGCAGCTACAACAAAGGGTGCCAATGCAGAGCTGACTATTTACAGCATTAAAAAATAAATAGAGTTATTAAAAACATTCCAATAATATGACGGACGCGGAGGAAGCACAAGTGGCCGCTTCGACCTCCACCACCTCCACAACACCCACCGACAAGGATGCAGCCAAAAGTAAGCAGCCGTGCACGTTACAACTGCAAAAATCTTTAATTGTTTTTATCGTTCTTAGTTTGCATTCTGCTTAATGCCACTGGTAATGTGCCGATTATAAAGAAACGTACGTGGACCGTGGATCCCAACAAGACAGTCAGTTGGATTCAGAAATTTATACATAAATTCCTGAAGCTGGACGCCAGTGAACAGATTGTACGTATGCGTTCGTCTCTTGAAACCTTATTCGATGCTTATTCATAAAATGTTTCCCCCCAACATTTGCAGTTTCTATATGTAAATCAAACGTTTGCACCCGCGCCGGATCAGATCATCAAGAACTTGTACGAATGCCACGGCACAAATGGCAAATTAGTTCTATATTACTGCAAGAATCAGGCGTGGGGCTAAATCGACACGCGCCATGCTACTACATATTATTTATTTATCTACGTTAAAATTTATGTTATTTAATTGTATGAGTTGACGCTGTAAACCCTATATTTTCACATTTTATTTCCTCAACTCGAGGTCTTAATTACGTCTATTAAAGGACCAAATTTGAAAACAAATTAATTGAAATCAGCAGAGTTCAAATGAAGCTAACTGCTTAGTCGCCACGCAGTGCTTCCAGCTCATCGGCAGCCTCTTTGGATACCCTATGATATTTGGCTACGGTTGGTCGGTAATAGTAGGCTTGATAATCGTTACGCTCAGACATTTTTCGGCGGATTTCCCCTTCGAGATTGCTGCAAGCAATAAGAAATATAAAGGTTGAAGAGTTTTTGTACACTTTCTAACTCTTATGATGTGTACCGAATTTGCGCTTTCTCGTTTTCCTCGTATATATTGTGCAGGGCTTTCTCGTATTCCTGTTGCTGCGATGTCAGAATATAGCGCGAAATAAACCGGGAAATTGGATTCTAAAAACAGTAAACAAATACGCTTGTATGATCCAATTAAAGTGTTAATGGCTCAGTCGCACCTTCTCGTATTCCCAGTGCTTGGGCACGTAGCCTTCGGGTATTTCGGACAGCTGGGATGGTCCCACAAAGATGTTTGAGTACAAGATCAGCGCTGTGACCGGAATTAGGCCGAGCATTACGTAAAAGTGCATCAGATCCTTGAATTTGTCCCATTGGAAGCGTGAGGGTTTGATGGTCATATGATGGTGTCCATGATCACCGGCCATTTGGCGTAATTGCTGCTGCAGTGCTTAAATGGGAGTCCGTGCAAGCATATAAGAATGTGGTTGCGTAATGTGGGCTATGTTTACAGCTGTATGTTTTTCAATTTAACACCTGTACCTACCATTGCGTGTGGCAGGCGTTAACAGAACTGCGCGATTCTTGGCAAATTGTGCCGCTGGCAACAGCAAACGGCTCCAACCAACCATTTTTAGCAAATTTTATGCTGTTGTGCTTTACACCCAAATAATGTGAACTGTAGTCAGTCGGTCAGTCAAAACAAGGGCTGGCGCAAGTGTTTTGTTTTGCACCAAAGAAATGTTCAATTATCGATAAGCGTCATCGATACTATCGATAGCAGCCAGTAACTTGACGAATGATGTACAACTGACCGTTCTTAGTTAAGGTTATTATTACAAGTGCACACAGAAAACCGAACAAATTGATTAACTTTAAATGTGTTTTTGAATTTGCATTTAAATGTGGAACACGTGTACCGTTATCAGAAACATCAAATTAGCAGCCTCAGCAGCCCTGGCATAAAACATCGCCTCTACTGATTGCCAGCCCTGCTGTGGCGCAGAGTTAAACACAAACTTTTTCGTCTGGACACAAAACATTGTTGCAATTTTGTTTTTGGATTTTTTCACAGACAAAAAACAGTGATAGGTAATTATTAAACCGACAGTCTTAAATAAGACAAAGTGGAGCATAGTCAGACAATATAATTGTTAAATTTGCGAATTGTGAATACCCATTTCATCTCGATTGCCGTTGCGCTGTTGCTGATAAAAAGCTCTTTGACGATAATAAAGTAAATAATATTATATGTGCATGACAGTGGTCGCAGTAAATGCGCAGTTCCTAAATGTCAAATGAATTTTTCTGATGACATTGTCTTGGGTTTAAATAATATGCGGCATAACTAAACCAAGACAAATTGTTACATATGCATACATATATACATTATGTATAAACTAATGTAAATGTCTCCGAATGGTACATACAGTGACGCAGGAAAAGAAAAGAATATACGAACTCTTAAATTAGTATGTGCTTAAATTGTTGCAAACTATTTTTAAATGTTAATTGAAGTAAAACAATTTTCTTGAGTCAGTCTAAAATCGACATACTCGTGTATGTATGTGTGCGTGTTTGTATGTACATGCAAATACTGTAGTTTGTTTTGGTGGTGGGCGTAGGCGTCGCCGCCGCCATTCTCCCACCTCCGCTGCGCGTTGCGTGCAAATGTTTAGCTTTGGCCTCGGCTCGACTTGAACTTTACCGATTGCCGTGTCGCTAAAAGCAAGAAATAACCTATTGCCATTCAGCGTAAATCAATTGTTGTTGTATTGGCGATTATTTTGAATATGAATCAGCGCTCCTCAGCATTAACAGCGGCAGCAGCGCGGCGGGAACAGCGTGCGATAAGAGCAAGAAACAAGTTTAATAGCTTGTGTTGGTTACCTCGTACATGGCTTGTCTGAGTCGAGCAGATGTGACGTCATCCGAGTAGTAGTTTTGTACACCCAATTTTGGCTAATGTATTTGTCGTGTACTATGTTTTTTTTTTTCTTTCATGAAGTGATTTTGTAAATTGTTTCGCACTTAGTTGGAGAGTCTCTTCTTTAAGCTGTTTTTATTCTGTTAACAGAGTATTGCACAGTCGGTATCATACGACTGCTACATTTTTCCTATTGTTTTTTTCCAGCTGTCACCATTTGTTAATCAGCAAATTTGCACAACGACAAACACGTCTCTGGGGCAATGGATGCCAATTCACGTTTTCCAGCGCGATTACCAGGTAAGACTCGCTGTCTAACAGTCAGTAGGCCGTCATTTTAGTTGTAAATGTATACATAAATATGTTAACATTTGTGTTTGTTTTGTTTTACTTTGCTATCCGAAAAAGTGTCGAATGCTTTTGCGCTCGCTTAAGATTTAAACGTTAGCTGTAACTGTAAAAATCAACAGTAATCGTAACCAATTATTGCCTTGCTTTAGACTAACATTTAACTCCCCCAACATTGTTTGTGCTACTAACCCAAATCGAGCATCTCATGTGCCTATTCAGGTGATTATTCACTGTATATAGAACGTACATACATAAGTAGCATACATTCAAAAATACATAATGCATAGTTGTAAATTTAACTAGATGTTTTTTGTAGCTACTCTTGCTATTGTTTTGTGCGTGTGTGTTTTGTGTGGCTTAGCTAATACCCTATCTTTTTCTCTCTCGCTCTTCTCTCAATTTTTGGAAATCTCTTTGTAAAATTGAATTGAACTCTCGAATAGAAACAATTAAAGCCCAATAACTCATCAAATTCTTTCTGATTCATGTTTATTCACTTACTCAATACACAAATCCGAACTAACTTGTTGCCTAAGGCCGTCAAAATACTTAAGTGAAAAGCATTACTTGTAAGATTACATTTTTGAAATTCTCACCACTCCAAAAGAAACCCTAAGAGATTAATAAATTCCTTTTCGTTTCTCACATGCACAAGGGCCCGCCATTAGCTCAATTGTGGGTAACTCTGAGGAGCCGCTGCCTAGTCTATCCGATTTGCATGACTGCGAGCCAAAGCTGGAGTTTGATGATACCGAGCTATTGACCCCAGCGCCACTAGAGAGTAAGAACTCTTTTGCATAAGGTGTATGCACGAAATGACTAAACACTTTATTTATTCACAGAAGATGTTATGGTCGGCGATTTTGTGCTAGCCGATGGTGAGTTGCTTGAGGGCAGTGATGGGTGGGTAATTGAGCGTGGTTTGAAAACGTTTTAAAGCATTTGCAGATCCCGAACTTGAGACAGAAGACGCACCAAATCCCTTAGAGGACGACTTTGAGGATCAGCTGCGTGAGCAGTCCGAGAACTTCCAGGCGACCAAAAATAAATGTGATTTTCTGGGCACCGATAAGCAGGGACGTCACATTTTTGGCATTTACGCCTCGCGCTTTCCCGAAAAGTCGCAGCTTGAGGGTTTTGTGCGGTAGGTGCAGCAAGTGGCTTCCCAGACCAACACATAACCGTGTCCTTCCATTTTTTTATAGCCAAGTCATCAAAGAGATTGAACCGTTTGTGGAGAACGATTATATACTCGTGTACTTTCATCAGGGTCTCAAGGAGGATAATAAGCCTTCGGCACAATTTCTGTGGAACTCGTACAAGGAACTGGATCGCAATTTCCGTAAAAATCTAAAGACTCTGTATGTGGTGCACCCGACGTGGTTCATACGCGTCATCTGGAACTTTTTCAGTCCATTTATCAGCGACAAGTTTCGCAAAAAGCTAGTCTACATCTCCAGCCTCGATGAGCTACGTCAGGCGCTGGGCCTGAATAAGCTCAAGCTGCCCGACACCATTTGCGACTTTGACGATAAACTGAATCCGAGTCGCGGCCGTGTATCGCAGCCAGCAACACCCAATGGGCGGCCTACGATGCAGTTTGGCGTGACCTTAAAGTTCATCGTTATGCACAGTCCATGCCTGAACTCTATACCGCCGATTGTGCGCAAGTGTGTGGATTCGCTCTCAATCACGGGCGTCATTGATACGGAGGGCATCTTTAGGCGTTCTGGCAATCATGCTGAGATTATGGCTCTAAAGGAGCGCGTCAACCGTGGCGAGGATGTCGATCTGAGCAGCGTCAATGTGCATGTCATCGCGGGTCTGCTCAAGAGTTTTCTGCGGGATCTTGCCGAACCGTTGCTAACCTTTGAGTTGTACGATGATGTGACCAAGTTCCTAGACTGGCCCAAGGAGGAGCGGTCCAGAAACGTTACCCAGCTGATACGCGAAAAACTGCCCGAGGAGAATTACGAGCTGTTCAAGTATATTGTGGACTTTCTGGTGCGAGTCGTCGACTGTGCGGACCTGAACAAGATGACATCCTCGAATCTGGCTATTGTGTTCGGTCCCAACTTCTTGTGGTCTGGTCGTACAAACACTTCGCTGGAGGAGATAGCACCCATTAATGCATTTGTCGACTTTGTACTGCAGAATCACAAAGCGATCTATCTGATCGACGTTAACCAGCGCACTGTGAGCGTAGACTAGCGGCACCGCTGGCCCCACAAATAAGTCCGTAATTTGTAAATTGTTTGATTAAGTGTTAGCCTTAAGCCCGCTAATGGGAGCACAGTGAAATGCGCAAGCGTTATTTCGTGTATAAAATGTGTTTAATCTAAGTTGAAAACCCTTTTACTTTTTCTTGTAACCTTGTAATTGTGTGCAAATGCAGAGGCTGCATGTAAAGGTTCTCTGCGCCTATTTTAATCGACCTCTTAACCATATACTCCCCCTCAAATACTTATTTAAAATATTAAAATCAAGAATAGTTAATTTACCAAAGAAATTTTTACAGTGTTTTATAAAACAGGAAGTGGCGAAGAAACGAAATACGAAAATTTAATTTTATACAACAAATACGCACAAAAAAAAAAAAAACACGCATTCCAAACTAAATCTAAGCTGCTGAATTTGCAAAATGCGAGCACCTGACAGAGAAATCTGTTGGAATTGTAGAAAATTCACAAACATAAGTGTAGATTATTGAATTTCCTTATAGTAATACAAATTTTATATAACAAAATGGTATTGTTAAAAAAAAAAAGAATAAAAAAATAAAGTAAATGTTAAAATCGAAATCTTACCGTTAATTTGCATACTGTGTTGTGGGTAGTTAAATATCACAAATTTGTTTCGACCTTTTGCTGCGTTGCTCCGCATTAGAAGTTTTCTTTTGTTTTTATTGATACCAAAGCAAATGAGTCCAAATTGGAATATTAAATAGTTCACGAACGTGTACAAAGTAGTTGGTTTAGGTGTTTAAATATTGATGTTCTTCAGCTTGCGATTAAGGTCGTTGAATTTCATTATTTTTCGCACGAAGAAATCGCCATAACGATGTGAGACCTTTGTGTCGGCAATATGAATCATATCATCGTCAATGTAGAAGTCGAGCTAAAAGGTAACAAGCATTTGTTTGTTTATTTAATCCCAATTAAAAAGACATATGCTACAACTTACCTCAGAGCCCGACTTGAAGGTGCCCTCGAGACCACTGGGACCCTTGCTCCAAACCAAATTGCGCATCTTGTGCTTGAAGCACAGCAAGCGTATAAGTAGCTTTGACACATCATCCTCACTCGCATTGGGATCAATGAAGGAGGCCAGCTTGGTCAGCGGTAATGTTGTGTAGAGCTTCAGATACGAGCGGGTGGTAGGTAAATCCTTTTGCTGGCGCACTTCATCCATGAAAACGAGCAGCTGGTGCTCCATTGGGTCCTTCACGTAGTCTTCCATGGGCGCATCAGCGGCGGGCGGGCAGGGGCTAACAAATCGTGGGCATGCAAAAACAAAGAACGACTTGAAGACTTCCAAATCACCGCATTGCATTTTAAACATGGCGTCATGGTAGTTTTTCTCGCGCAAAACTTGCTGAATGGACTCGTCGATGCACTGCGGATGCAGCACCAGGCATATGGCCAGCAAATGATACATTTGCTCTGCTTGCTTGTTGATTTGATCGTTCTGGTAGGAGCGAGTGCTATACAGCTGCTTGGTGCGCTGAATATACAGCAGGATGTCCGAGAAGGTGCGTATGGCATCGGCGTAGCGGCGCATCATCATGTAGGCAAATCCCACATAGTACGACGTGGATATCTGGCAGGCGGGTATGTGCGAGTAGGCCGATTTCTTGTGTATCTCAATGGGCTCCAGCACCTTTATAGCCTGATAGTAGTCACCCAGTAGCGAGTGCACGCGCAGCAGACCAACTAACGAGAAGTAGCCAAGCATCTTGTAGAAGGCAAGCTTGCCAAAGTCGCCAGCAACGGTTTGTGGATCGATGCCCTGAGAGATGGCCTCCAGCTGTTTCTTAATGTTGGAGATATCGACCAACGAGTGCAGCACATTCAGAATACACAAAATACTCCAAACGTTGCTGTGGTTCACGCATAGCTGCTGAATCTCGTCCTGCGACTTGTCCGTCAGGCGTGCACTACGCAGATTAATAAAGATAAGATTTCAATCACAACAAGAAATCAAATCAAAAGACTCACCGGTATTGGGCAAAGTTCTGAAACTGGTAAACAAATTCATCGACCAACTCCCAAAGCCAGATGTCGGGCAGCTCAAGCATTACGGGATTCTGAGCCGAAATGATTAGATTGAAGAAATCGCAGTAGTTGAAGAAAGAGTTAATGCGCTGCTCCAGTTTAGGTCCGCCCGGAATGCGGGCATGGATGTGACGGTAGTACAGCTCCTTGTACAAAATCAGAAACACCTTGTCATTGTCCACAATGGCGCCCACCTCTTGCTCATCTGGCCAAGCAGTCTTGTCGAAGTGGTGATCGCTGATCTGCGGGAATGTGTTCTCATACATATTCTGTATGTCGTAGAGATTCCCCTCCTTGATCGCCTGGCAGAAGTTCATGAGAAAGTACTTGACATTCTCGGGCATGCGGTTGGCGTAGAAGTTACGCTCGTACTCCAAATCCAGCGCTGGATCGCCCGTGTGCGCATAATCATCGTAAAAGTCCTGCAATATGACAAAACCAATAATTAATTCCTTAGTTTGCATTGTGTTTTGTTGATGGTAGCGGGCTCCCAAAAGTTGGGTTATGTTTAGCGAAGCCCCGTTGACTTGCAAATTGTGCGAGTGCAGCGCATGCCGCTGCTTTCAAGGAGCAAACACTCACCGAGTTACCAAATTCCTCACCGCCGTACATTTTTGCTGTTTAACTATATATTGCTTGACACAAAACCGAAATACTTTGCAACGTCTGACAAACACGCCAACAATTTTTCTGGCGTAGCAGAAAGGGAGCGTAACGTAGTGCGAATCGTTGTACGTAACGCAAAAATGAGCAACGCAACGCAAAACTGCTCAATGCAGTGCTGATAAGTGTCAAATAGTGAATAGAAAAGAATCGGGAACAATTGTATTAATCTACATTATACTCATGTATCGATACTATTAATTCATTGTGAACGTAGCGAGACGTGTGTGTCATCTACTCGCAACGTTAATTATTTTATTAATCAAACGACGGAGCCCATGTACGTTGGGCTGGGCGCACGTAAAAATACAGCAAGGCACGCTTTTAAAATAAAACAGTGAAATAAAGACAAACAAAAAACAAGCGTCATTTTGTTTTATCGGTGTTCACATTGACGACGCCAGTACCGCGGGGTTGGCAAAACAAGTTGTCCCGTTGGTCTGCAACTGGCTGCACCAATAAGAGCGTTTGACTGTGCAAATAAGTGTGGGACAATCTAATTCATTAAGTATAAATGTGTCTTTAAGTCATTTTGGGTGATTTTAAAATACAAAAGCCAAAATGAGGCAACACACTTCAACGCAGGCAACGGCAACAATTTCAATTTGCAGCTGCCTTCTGCTGCTGTGCAGCAACAGCGTGGGAATCGCATTAGCAGGTAAAATTAGTTCATAAAACGTCTACGGTTTAAAAAATAATAATAAAAATAATAAAAAAAATAAAGATTTCAGTATTCGAAAACATAAATTCGTTTAAGCCAAGTTTTGGGCGTGTTCCCCAAAGTTGTAGACTCGTCATTTTCCACTTCTCTCTATGTTTGTGTTTCGCTTTTAACTCGCTCTTCAAATGTGACGATCGCGCGCTCTCCGCTCTCGCGCTCACGAGATCCCAAACGCTGCTTACGAACGCCGCTAACAAAACAAAACCAATAAACAACGCCTTTTTTTTAATCTCGTTACTGTGCGTATTGCCTATTGGAGCCGGCATTTTTCATTGCGGCCATTGTTGCAGCTGCAGCCAAAGTGCGCATGCACTGGCCACAGGCAAATCCTGTGCTTAGCACGTGTCTGATCCATATGTCAACTGGGCAAAGATGTTGAGATATGCTCCGTTTGGCTGGCATCAATAATTAATTATACGCTTGCCACAATAAACATTTAAAGTTCATATGCAAACATTTTATGACTAAAAATAAACAATTCCTAACATTCTCAACGCTTTGCACGCCATTGAGAGCCGGACAGCCGGGCAACTAGACGGCCTCTTTGGTAATTTATTTCGATGCTTATAATTATTTGCCGGCCAAGGCTCGCATCATCCACACTTCCAATTTCAGCGGGCGGAAATTACTTTTCAATATATCGGTCACGTCATATTTATTTCATTGAGAACATTAGCCAGATTTTTTATTATTATATGTGTGTACATGTTGTGATTACTGGGAATGTGATTTGCTGAAAAATCATAATAAAACCCATTCGGAATTGCATGTGGCGTGGCAATTGTGTAAAAAGTAAGTCGTTTCCCTGCAAGTTAGTCAAGATATATCAAAAAGTAGTTCAAATTTGTTCCTCTCCCCTCTCTCCCCCGCCCCTCTATTGATTATTTTCTTGAAATGTTGTGCGTGTTACGACCTGTCACAGGTTCTACCAACTGGGTTGGCCATTCGTACATACATATGTTTGTCCTGATGTGCGTATATATCAAGATTGACTCTAGCTAATCTGCTGCACACTTTCCAAAGCGTTTGCTATTGCCCCCCTCCCCCTGCCCCCAGCCCCCTCACCCAGTTGCGTCAACTTAAAGTCAAACACAAAGTGCACATGAACTCTCTTAGCCTTCACTGGTTTCTGGTCTCTAAGGGTTGTTTTTTGTTGTCACCGTGGCGCTGTTTGAACAGGAGCTGCACCCACAAAGGCGTCGCCACCTTGGGGGTTGCCGGAGACGAGACAATTGTCGACGCTAGGATTTCCGTGCCCTGTTATCACGCCTGCCGCAAGTCTAAGTGGGCACTCTTCTATTGCAGCAGGCGCACTTTGCCGAGTGCACAATGTCATGGCAACCAAATATTTACACAAATAAGAGATAAGACGAGGCAACAAATTGCAGTGCAGTAAATAAATGCAATGTGTACTCTTTTTTTATTTCTCGGATCTCGTGGGCCTTATTTATGGCTCATAAAATTAAGCACTAAAAAGCCACATGACTACCGCCAAGGACCAAAGTAGATGCCACTCAAAATGTATAATTGAAATTATGTATGAGCTCAGATGTATTGGCCCCTGTCCAAGCGTATTACTTTTCTTATTTCGGAACTTTTCAATTTTATTTACGCCAGTGACAGTTTATATATGTACGGACATCTTTTCGATGGGCGGAATATTTGGGTCAGGCAGCCAATATTTCAACTCTGTAAGTAAAACAAGCAAGAGTGCTCGACTAAAAGATAGCCTGGAACAATACATTCCTATTCGTATTTACTTAAAAAAAAATAAACCTAAGATCCAATTTGCTTAAAAAGGCGACCCTAATTTGTAAGCTTTGTTGGATTTCATGAGATCTGCATAGAAAGGTCACTCGCATTTCCAAGTGAGAATGACAAATCATTTTACTAAGAGAGAGAGAGAGGGGGGGGGACTGTTTAGTAAGACGATGAGGGAGAACGAGCTAATGCGAGAGAGGTTGCTTGAGTTGACCTACAAGCGATAGAGAGCAATATCTATGTGAGATTGAGAAGACGATCAACTCTTCGATGCGATTTTTATAAATGAAAGTGCGACAGATTCAAATAACGTGTTGTTTGATTGTTTTCCTTGCTTGCAGATTCTTTCTCCGATTATTTTTCCGACTATGAATGCAACCAGCCGTTGATGGAGCGGGCTGTTTTAACAGCCACATCGTCGTTAACGGAGCGTGGACCAGACAAAGCGCATTTAAATGGTAAGTGGTAGTTTTCAAAAGTGTTTTTCCGTTTTTTCTGTCTTTAGTTGTCGTTGATTACTTGCGTATGTTTTTTTTTTTTTAAGCTGTTATTTGTTTGTAATGCCGTTTGCCTTTAGTTTATGCTTTAGTATTGTTGTCTTTAGTTATTTAGCCGCCAACATTTGAAATAAAGTGCCCAATCGCGCGCATTGACAACTCTACTCGCCGCACAGCGATGCTAACTCGTTCGGTCTGCGTGTCGTCGCATTGGCCGAATGCCAATACGAACAAGAAGAAGCAGCGCTTAAGTAAATTAGTTGATTAAGCGAAAAAATTGAAGACAATGTTTTGCATATTAATAAAATAAAAAGCATTTAGCATAATATTTGCAACGACAATCCAATGAACAAACACATCTGCACACGATGGGCGTTCGATTTAAGCACGTGGACGCCCACGCTGCCGCAGCTGACGCATGCAGTTGCTGCCATACAGGCCGAGGAGCGAACGCGTTTAATGAAATTTCATTTTATCGATGATTTTTTGTCCTCGTTAATTGGTCGCCTATTAATGCGAAAATTTGTGAGCACGTGCACCAACGAGCCGTATCATCAAGTACAATTCGCGCGAGACGTGCGCGGCAAACCCTACTGGGTCCAGGCACAGCAATTGAAGACCAGCACAACACAGCTCAGCTTCAATGTGTCGCACCAGGGCAAGTTGGTGCTGCTGGCGGGCATCAGGGGTAGCAAAGATGACCCAGAGTTCGGCATTGGCACGGATGTCATGAAAATCGAGTACAATGGCGGCAAATCTCTGTCGGAGTTCTTTCGTCTCATGCAGAGCAAATTCTCACCCCAGGAGTGGAGCTACATTGGCAGACCACAGCACAATGAGCGCGCACAGCTCAAGGCATTTATGCGGCACTGGTGCCTCAAGGAGGCCTATGTCAAGGAGCTGGGCGTGGGCATAACTGTTGATCTGCAGAAGATTAGCTTTGCCATGGACACAACGCATCCATTGGAGGAGGCCGCCTCGCCCCTATGTGGCACGACGCTCTGCTGCAACGGCACGCCCATGAGCCAATGGCATTTTGAGGAGCATTTATTAACGCCCAAATATTGTGCTGCCATCGCATTTCGCAACTGTCTGCCGCTCGAGCATGCAAAGTTCGAGTTTTTGCGTTTCGAGGATCTAATTGAACGCAGTGCAGCCGCCGAGCAGCCGGATGTGTTGGCCTACTGCCAGAAGGCGCTACTCAAACCGCACAAACGCCAACAATAGGACGAACGATATACACAAAATATTAGCATAGTTTACGATTCAGAAATAAATGTAACTATAATTTTATATTGAACTCTTGTGCCTCAAAATGCTGGCGTGCTAAGCAGCTGTCCGCATATTCCTGCCCAATTCTGGGACTCGAAATAACAAACAGCAAATAAAACGAACAGAGACGTAAGCCGGAAATATGCTTAAAAGGCAATAAACCCAAATGTAGGCGCTCGCGATTATGGTAATGGGTCCCAGACATAGACATGTGCCAGACAACTTGGTTTGCTTAATATAAATATATGCGCAGAGAGCAGAGCTTGGCTTGGCAAGGGTAGCGTTTTGGTAGTTAGGTTCACAGGCAGTTTGTTTTTTCTTTCTTTGTATTTTGCCGAATTGTTTACCAAAGTTTTATCGATGGAAACTTTTATGCGGCATTGAACCCAACTTGAGCGTAATTTACTTCATATATAATCCCAGTCGATCGATGCCATAGCGTATTCACACAGTCTTTGGTCACGGACCGGACCCATTAAAACAAAAGCAGAATCCCGACTGCGGCAATTGTTTATGCTCAATCCGCCTGCCATGTCCATTTAGTGTTAACACCAGGGCACTTGGGCACACCCCTGTGGCAAATATATATGAATTGCATGTTTCCCACTGCAAATGCGAATTTTCATTGTGCCTGGCAATGGGGTTGCTCTTACCCTTGCTCATGTGGAGGACCTTCGATATAGGGTCGTACCACTTGCAGCTGTCAAGCGAAATCGCCTTAAATTATGGCCTCTTAATTGGCAGGCAGTTACGATGCACAACATTTGTCTATAGCAAATTCGACGACCCAGTCCATTTGAGAGTTTGAAATTGATTTTGTTTTTGTTGAATATTTTCATTTTTAAATTATATATCGTTAATTTTTATTGCACACTCCCCCCTCCAACTATCGTTAAGCTGGCACCTCGTGGTCGGCCAAGAGCTCGGACTTTGATCAGCGTCTGATTATTGACCTGGGTGTGGTCAAGAATGTCACGCACATTGCGCTGCAAGGACGCCCGCACAGCAATGAATATGTGACCGAGTATACCATTAGCTATGGCATCACAGATCTCGAGTTTGCCGACTATAAAGAGCCGGGCGGCAACATAAAGGTAAGCGTGAACCACCCGCTTCCGATCTGTCACACTAATCCAATCACTCTGCATATATATATATATATGTGTGTGCGTGTGTGTTTATCCGGGTGCTGTTGGTGGTGGCTGGATGAGAATGTAACCCGGTTAAGAGCTGGCTAAACAGCTGCACAAATCTACAGATTTCCATAATACTTCACATTTTATTTTCATTTATGCCTGCTTTTTTTTTGGCTGTATTTTTTGCTTTTTATATTGTTTGCACGTTTCTCGTTTCATGTATTTGTAGTACTCTTTTTTTGTGTTTGGTTTTGGTTTCCTTTTCACACTATTTGCCTACTCACTTAACTGATCTTAACCCGAATTGCAACTGGTGCAGGTAACGCGGCTTGGACGCCTGTCGAGAATACCTATAATCACTTTCTAACAGTCGATCTGGGCGGGCCACAAATGGTGCGCAAGATCGCCACCATGGGACGCATGCACACCGATGAGTTTGTAACGGAGTACATTGTCCAATACTCGGACGATGGCGAGTATTGGCGCTCGTATGTTAACCCCACGAGCGAGCCGCAGGTACAGTGACTAACACACTACTAGTCTAATTTCATAACTAACTAAGCCTAGCTAAAAGCTAAACTCAAGAAAGGGCAAATTTGTGGCATGGTGCAAGGCTCTTGGGGCATTTGATTTATAGTTATTAATGTAGGCACTTACCCAAAACAGATGTTCAAGGGCAACACCGACGGCAATTCCATACACTACAATGTCTTCGAGGTGCCCATTATTGCACAGTGGGTGCGCATTAATCCTACGCGCTGGCATGATCGCATCTCCATGCGTGTCGAGCTCTACGGCTGTGAATATGGTGAGTAAACACCAGGTTTATATCAATTCCTGCTAAAGCCGCTTCTTCTTTTACAGTGTCGGAGAATCTTTATTTCAATGGCACCGGCCTGGTGCGCTATGATCTGCGCCGTGAACCCATTGCCTCATCCCGCGAGTCCATACGTTTTCGCTTCAAGACCGCCTTTGCGAATGGCGTTATGATGTACTCGCGCGGCACTCAGGGCGATTACTATGCCCTGCAGCTGAAGGATAACAAGATGGTGCTGAATCTCGATCTGGGCTCGGGCATTATGACCTCGCTCTCGGTAGGCAGTCTGCTGGACGATAATGTGTGGCACGATGTGGTCATATCGCGTAATCGACGGGACATCATATTCTCAGTGGATCGTGTCATAGTGCGTGGACGCATTCAGGGCGAGTTTAGTCGATTGAATCTCAATCGGGAGCTGTACCTGGGCGGTGTGCCCAACGTGCAGGAGGGTCTCATTGTGCAGCAGAACTTCTCGGGCTGTTTGGAGAACATTTATTTCAACTCGACCAACTTTATAAGGACCATGAAGGAGAGCTATGAGCTGGGCGAGGCTTATTTGTATACCAGGGTGAACACCATATATGCTTGCCCCTCGCCGCCCATTTACCCTGTTACCTTTACGACGCGCGGTTCGTTTGTGCGACTGAAGGGCTATGAGAACTCGCAGCGCTTGAATGTGTCCTTCTACTTCCGTACGTACGAGGAGAGCGGCGTTATGGTACACCACGATTTCTACTCGGGCGGCTACATCAAAGTGTTTCTGGAGTTTGGCAAAGTGAAGATTGATCTCAAAGCCAAAGACCAGGCACGCATCATTCTGGACAACTATGACGAACAGTTCAACGATGGCAAATGGCATTCCTTTGTGCTTTCGATTGAGCGCAATCGTCTCATTCTAAATATTGATCAACGTCCAATGACAACGACCAAGAATCTGCAGATAGCAACTGGACGTTTGTATTATATAGCCGGCGGTAAGGAGAAGAATGGCTTTGTGGGCTGCATGCGCCTCATCTCAGTGGATGGCAACTATAAGTTGCCACAGGACTGGGTGCAGGGCGAGGAGGTTTGCTGCGGCGATGAGGTTGTCGTCGACGCCTGCCAAATGATTGATCGCTGCAATCCAAATCCCTGCCAGCACAAGGGTGTTTGTCATCAGAATAGCATGGAGTTCTTCTGCGACTGCGCACACACTGGATATGCGGGCGCTGTCTGTCACACCTGTAAGCAACAACAATGTGCTTTTTGGTGTACAAGCAACTCATTCGCTTCTTTCTTATAGCCAACAATCCTCTGTCTTGTCAGGCTTTGAAGAATGTGCAGCACGTGCAGCAGCGTGTTAATCTGAACATTGATGTCGATGGCAGCGGTCCGCTGGAGCCTTTCCCAGTTACTTGCGAATTTTACTGTGAGTGCATGTGTGTACGTTTGTTGATCTGTCCTTAAATCTCATCAATCTTATTTATAGCTGATGGTCGCGTTATAACCACACTTAGTCACAGTCAGGAGCACACGACCACGGTTGATGGCTTCCAGGAGCCCGGCTCCTTTGAGCAGTCCATCATGTACGATGCCAATCAACTGCAAATTGAAGCATTGCTTAATCGCTCGCACAGCTGCTGGCAGCGTCTGAGCTATTCCTGCCGTTCGTCGCGTCTCTTCAACTCGCCCAGTAAATATATATATAGCAAGTTTTAAGATGCGTTTTGGATGTTAATTATAAATTCAACAAATAGCTGAAGCTGGTAACTTCCGTCCCTTCTCCTGGTGGATTTCTCGTAACAATCAGCCCATGGACTATTGGGCCGGCGCTTTGCCTGGTTCGCGCAAATGTGAGTGCGGCATCCTGGGCAAATGTCACGACCCTACCAAGTGGTGCAACTGCGATTCCAACAGCCTAGAGTGGACCGAGGATGGCGGAGATATACGTGAAAAGGAACATTTGCCAGTGCGTGCGGTTAAGTTCGGTGATACCGGCACGCCGCTGGATGAGAAACAGGGCCGCTACACGCTGGGACCCATGCGCTGCGAGGGCGACGATTTGTTCAGCAATGTTGTCACGTTCCGCATAGCTGACGCTTCAATTAATTTGCCGCCCTTTGACATGGGTCATTCGGGCGACATTTATTTGGAGTTCCGCACCACACAGGAGAACTCGGTGCTGTTCCATGCCACTGGCCCCACCGACTATATCAAGCTGAGTCTGAATGGTGGCAACAAGCTGCAATTCCAGTACCAGGCCGGCAGCGGTCCACTCGGCGTCAATGTGGGCACCAGTTATCATCTGAACGACAACAACTGGCACACTGTGAGCGTTGAGCGTAACAGAAAGGAGGCGCGCCTGGTTGTTGATGGCTCCATAAAGGCTGAGGTGCGCGAGCCACCAGGTCCCGTGCGTGCTCTGCATCTGACATCAGATTTGGTCATTGGCTCAACCACTGAGTACCGCGATGGTTACGTGGGCTGCATACGTGCGCTCTTACTGAATGGAAAGATGGTGGATTTGAAAGAGCACTCAATGCGTGGAATCTATGGCATCAGTACGGGCTGCGTGGGTCGTTGCGAGTCAAGTCCTTGTCTCAACAATGGCACCTGCATTGAACGCTACGATGGCTACAGCTGCGACTGTCGCTGGAGTGCTTTCAAGGGACCCATTTGTGCAGATGGTACTTTGGCGTTGGTTATAGTCGCACTGTCTTAACTAATGTTTACCAATTATTTATTTATCGCTTGCAGAGATTGGCGTCAATTTGCGTTCCAGTTCTATTATTCGCTACGAGTTTGAAGGCTCCTTCCGTTCCACCATTGCAGAGAATATACGCGTGGGCTTCACAACTACCATACCCAAGGGCTTTCTGCTGGGTTTCTTTTCGAATTTAACAGGCGAATATTTGACCATACAAGTTTCCAATTCAGGTGCTTATAAGAGTGTAACATGATGCGTAGAATAGGCTTTAATATTGCCATGTTTTCACTTTGCAGGCCACTTGCGGTGTGTGTTTGACTTTGGCTTCGAGCGTCAAGAAATTATATTCCCCAAGAAGCATTTCGGCTTGGGTCAGTATCATGACATGCGTTTTATGCGCAAGAACAGCGGCTCCACGGTGGTGCTGCAAGTGGATAATTACGAGCCAGTCGAGTATCACTTTGATATCAAGGCGTCGGCGGATGCACAGTTCAACAACATTCAGTACATGTACATTGGCAAAAATACCTCAATGACTGACGGATTTGTTGGCTGTGTGTCGCGTGTGCAGTTCGACGATATCTATCCACTAAAACTGATGTTCCAACAGAATCCACCCAATAATGTCAAATCTCTGGGCAGTAAGTATTGTTTATATGAAGAAACTCTGCATTCGCTATATTTTATAAACTCTTGTAGCTCAATTGACTGAAGACTTTTGCGGCGTTGAGCCTGTAACGCATCCACCCATTGAAATTGAGACCAGACCGCCACCATTGGTGGATGAGGAGAAGCTGCGCAAGGCTTATAATGAAGTCAACTCTGTGCTGCTGGCATGTAAGTTAGAACTACAACGCCAGCAAAGGCCCTGTTGTAATACCCTGCTCTTCGTTTTCAGTTTTGCTCGTCATACTCTTCCTGTTGCTACTACTGATGTTCTTCCTGATTGGTCGCTACTTGCACCGACATAAGGGCGATTATTTGACGCACGAGGATCATGGCGCCGATGGAGCCGATGATCCGGATGATGCTGTTCTGCACTCAACCACGGGCCATCAGGTCAGAAAGCGTACAGAGATTTTCATCTAAGCTATCGAGTGCAGCAATCTCCGAAAATCAATCGCCTTAAACAAAAACCAGCAACACACAACTGAGCGACGACTCGTACACAAAACAAAAAACAAAAAAGATATATATATACATATAAACACACAATCAAACGAATTAGGAAACGAATATGATAAATTATCATTGATAATAGATTCGAAGGCTTTTCCCCCCAACACACTGCCAATTATTTTGAGCAATTCTTTTGCTTTAAAATTTGGTTAACAATTGGTTGCTGATTACTTTACCTTACTTTATCGTATTGTAATATTTTGCTTTTGTTTAATGGCAAATCAATTTCTTAAATTTTATTTTACTTTGTACTTTGAACGAACACTCAATAGTCATCGAAGACCGTCCATTTTTGTTTAGTTAACTTTTTATACACATTTTGTTTACCAAATTAAGTTACGATTGTACTTTAAGTTGCTGCGCGCTCTGCAGCCCGTCAACCAGCCAATTACATTTATATATTGTGCACGTATTCATATATATATATATCAATATATATATATATGTGTATACTTGCACAATAATACCAACAACATTCCATTATATTTAAAACGTTTTTGTCTGCCTCTACTTATTATGTAAATCTTTTCAAATGTCTTCTAATTTACACAAAAACAAAACAAAATTTAATCATTTTTGTAGTAAAACAAAATGCTAAGTTGTAAAAGTTTAGTTACGAAATGAGAAAATGAATTGTATTTTTGGAAAATGCAATTGCATATTTGAAATATACATATTTGGCATATGTATATATATATATATATGAACAGTTGTATATACACTGTGTGTTTACACTGACATAATAAAGATTTTTTCAAATTTCAATAAAATTAATTATATATACAAGGAAGTCGTTTATGAACTTACCACTTGTTCTTCGTATCTATGGAAACTATTTGATTTGCCCGTTCTCAGTCTCTTAATGTTTATTTAATATAATGCTGCATACTAAAAATATATGTATGTATGTATATAGGTTTGTGTGTGCGGGTGTATACATATTTAGAGGCTATTCCATATTCCATGTTCCATATTCATATTATATCATGGATGTATAACAATATCGTTTAACGCTATTTTTGATTACTACAGGGTCTTCCAATTTGTTCTCTACTACTTTACTGGAATATTTCGATTCATTTGTGTGTGTGTGTGTGTTTGCGTGTGAGTGTGTGTGTATATATATATATATAATAATAATGCTATATGTATTATCCAACAACAGTCTAAATCGCATCTAACGTTAAGATAGAATAACACTGGGTGGGTATATGTATATGCAATACTTGGCAATAAGTTGATGTTGAGGTCGTCCCTAATCTTTCAGTTCCTAACTTGTCCTAAGCCTTGCCAGAGCTTTTGCTAATTACTTATTCGTTGTATCTAGATCAACTATCAATATGGGTTTATCTCGACTTAATCGCTGCGCCAGTGTTTGGTTTAATATAATAATCTATTAGTGCCTAGTGCAAATCCACTTGTGTCTATGTGTGGGTGTATATATGGATATGTTTTAACAGAGCATCGGCCAACATTTCTAAATGGAAGTCAACAGTATTGCTGTATTGATTATGTACTCGGGGATAAGTATTGGTTCGATACTTCGTATATGCCTCGATATTCTTTGCGTCAAACCAAAATCTCTGTTCAAAAATCTATCACAAAAGTCGTAAATGGCAGAACAGAAAGTACAAAACTACAAGCTTAAGCTGCGCCCCCACACACTTACTGGCGAGTGCAGCATATTGTCCACAGTTCATCCCGGCGTCCAGCCAGCCCAACTAGTTATGCACATTGTTGTTGGCCAGCATGCGGTAGCGATTCAGCAGCATTACGGCAGCATCCTGGGCGGGCTTGATCTTGCCGTGCGCCTCCTCGTAGGCGCCAAACAAGATTCGTTCTCACAAAATAGTGCAGAGCACAAACAGCATGGACACCAGGCACAGCATGGCCACAATATCTCTGTGCAGCTTCCGATCCCGATAGAAGGGTCGCGTGCCGAAGCTCTCGCTACGCGCCCGCCGCAACAGCCATATCGGGATGACCAGATGCAGCAGATCCGGCAGCATAAAGCCAATGTCGCGCACCACCTGATGGGCTGCCCCCTCGCCGCGCACCACGTTCATGAAGAACTGGTCGAAGCTGCCGGCCAGAATGTGCAGCAGGGCAATGCCCACAATGCAGAACACCTTCTTCGGCTTGACGACATTCGTGGTGCTGGCCAGGTGCATGACTAGCACTGTGGAGAACAGCTCCGTTATCTGTAAGTCAGATGAGACATAAGTTATAAGACTATAAAATGGGTTCAGTTTATGTATTTTAATATCTTTTGTCACAGATATCTCTGAAGCCATAGAGAATATATATATTTTGATCAGAACATGGTTTGGCTTTTAAAAAGATCTAGCATTCGAAACCTATCCGAATCGTCCGGCTTGGAGCATTCTACCTTATATATATATCATAGATCGATCGAAAATAATTTCTTCTTTTAAAAGAAATCTTGGCCAAAATCTTAGCAACATCGGATTACTATATCTAACATATCATTTAGCTGTCATAGGAGAGGTTTGAGCTAAGTTAAGGAATTTTTATATATTCTAAAATGAGCTTAAAACATTATTTATGGTAAGACTTAAATGTTAGACCCAGCTGTGTTTGCTTGTACTGCAAAAAATAGCTGAGACCGAATTGGAATCCTTAATACTTAGAATTTCTATAGATTTGCAAAGGAAGGGAGTGATGCCTTAAAATGCTTTCCCTTTTCCTGTATGCCTTTCATCTTGAACTGGTCTTGGGATTAAGTACACTTGCGTCGACTGCCCGATTGGGCCAATAACGTTGGCTCATTAACGTTGGCCAACTGTAAAAGTTGCCGTTTTGCGTCGATTGCTTGGCCACTTGAAACTTTCTGCATTCCGGCATTTAACATATTTGATTACGGCCAATGGCAGTGCATGACTTATCCTTAAATATATATACCAAGAGTACCGGCAATTCAGTGCCGGATGGGCGTACCGGAGCTGCATAAGTTTTATAAGTGGCCCACGTAAAGCACGGTTAGAAAGTTGAGCTCAACACGAGCACGAACACGGCGCATATTGTGTAAGTTTTAAGCATGGGAATTTTTTAAACAGAACTTTCCTAATAAATTATGGATAACCGCTTGGCCTGGCCACTTGTCTGTCCAAGCACACACACACACACACACACACACACACACACACACACACACACACACACACACACACACACACACACACATACACACCGGACCTGGTGAAGTGAGTCGAAGTGTTCTGTAGCTTACCGTGAAGAAGAGTTGGTGATTCCATTGATTGTAGTAATCGTCGTTGTAGTAGTTGATATACGCCCACCAGGCATAATAGTGCGAGAAGATGGAGAGCAGGAAGAGCAGCAGCATTGAGTAGCGCACCCGCTGCTGCAGGATCAAGGCGATGAGCCGCTTGATGCACTCGTAAAGTGCAATTACCGCAAATACGGTCAGTATCCACATCTTGAAGCTATTCGGCGTTGCATTGAAGTACATGTGCTTATAGGCGGCCACGCCCGACTCGTAGGGACCCTTGAAGACGGTGTCCCAGCAGGAGCACGTGCAAAAGTGCCGGTCCACATACCTCGCATAATTCTCCCAAAAGTACCACAATATGACTATATGAGCCGGCGGTATCAATGCCGGCGCCAGTGAGCCGCAGGCGGTGGGCAGCCAGGTGACATCGAACATGGCGCTGCTGATGCCAACGAATCCCGCTAAGCTCTCGAGTAAGTCCGATTGGTTCGCTTTACTGGCTGACTGCCTGACTGCTTACCTGCTCACCTGGCTACCTGTCTACCTGGCTGGCTGACTGGCTTTCACGCAATTCGAGCGGGTTCCGGTTAGTCCATCGTCCAACACTTAAGCTGCAAGCAGACAGTGTGAAAAAATGTTTTCCCTCTTTTTTAATAGCCCGTACACACACACACACACACACACACACACATACACATTTCCGCCGCAAAATTTTCCAATTACTGATAAAAATTGACCATAACAAGACTGTCAGATGGGAATTTTTCCAGTGCAAACGACTGATTGGATAACTCTGACTTGTATATGGGCAATTATAGGGCCACGCACCTGCTGTTGGGACGTTTTCAGCGAAAAGAAGACCAAGGAAAACCGAGAAAAACTTTCATTTCTTTTCATTGCTTGATTTTCAGCTCGTTCTTTGGTATCAGCATTTTTGCATATTCAACGTGAAAGCTTTTGAACTTCGGTTCCAAGACATTGACAAACAAATTAATGGCTATAAAGGGTAGAATTCCATTTACAGCTCTTGCCGCTGTCATTGCATTGAACAAGTTAAAGGACTCAGAACGGGTGTGTCGGACTAGGCGATACCCTAAGCCCAAGGCCGTTACAAGCATTCTGGCTTCCTTCTATGCATATATATTTAAACGAAGGCACATTATGGGAAGTGTGTTCCTGAATAACTTCGGTCTTCAGTTTCAGTTTCTACCTTTAAAAATGAAATATTTTTTTTTCGGGATCAGAATATGTTAAATATGAAGTTACTATAGAGAAGATCAAGACTGAAGTATCTAGCTTTTAGAATTGTCGAGCTATACTGAAAAAACCATGCTTCAAAATCCATATTTATCGATATAATGAAAATGGAAGTAGATATTGATGAAAAATGATAAACTCTTTCAGCATAAGGCATACGAGAATATATAGGTCATGTCTCTGGCTTTTGCATATGTGCACAGAATATGAACAGAATTTATTTTAGTTTTTATGTGACATGATTTTAAATTGGACAACAATTATTCAATTGAAATATCTTCGATTGCAGTTGAATGTGTTCAATGTGTAAAAATGCTTTCATCAAATTGTTGCTATTTGCATGGCAAACATTTGTTCTACTTATGAAAATAAACACAAACGAGCCCAAAAAATTAATCAGCAATATTTCGAATGTCACAGGATGGCAGCATGCATGCACATGCACATATGCATATGCATATTTATATGTATATTTATATATATATATGTGTATATTCCCCATTTTGGCACACTGCATCACATATTGCGAGTACTCAGAGTGAGCGCCATTCGTGCTTTTGTTGGCTGTTGGCTGGGAAACAGGGCCCGGCCCAAGAATGAAGCAATTATAAATTCATACGTTTGTCAGAGCAGATGAGACAACCAGCCAGCTAGCATTCCACAGACGCAGCACATCCAAATGCAACCTCCTGGCATGGTTGCCAACAAAAAAAAAACCAACATAGAGAAGAGACGGGAATGAGAAGCCAAACCGTGCGGTCATTAGTGCCGCACAATGTACAGAGGTATATCGTGTTGAAAGGGTGCGGGCAACTATTTGAGGCAACAATTTTCGGAAAAAAGGCAACTTCTGCTGGTGCCCCCTGCAAGTGCCTGGGCCTGGGCCTGGGACTGGGCGTCCGTTGAATTAATCTGCCGTATCTGAATCTGCAGCTGCCAGCGAAAAAGTATTTCGATTTGATTGGTTTTTTTTTTGGTTTGTTGCGCCACAGTTTAATAAAAACAAATAACAAAAACAAGCACATTGACGTCATAGTTCTTGAATGAAAACTTTTTTGTGTTTAACTTATTGAGAGCGAGTACAAATGCGGCAGCAACAAAAATCGAGAACGAAATCATTGCAAACAGCATTAAATTCTAATTTAAATCAGTTCCACAAAACTTGATTATGCATTCATTATATTTGAATTTCCCATTCCCAACATTTGATTCACATTCCGGCTGTAGCTCAACCGGAATCATTGCGAGCGTGTTGCCAAAGAACGTCGTAAGCTAGTTTGTTTTCTGCTTTAGCTTAAACAGTTAATTTATTTTCGAAATAATTGCTGTTTGCACTCTTTGTTGTTTACTGAACTTAAAGTTCAACAAATGTTGTTGTAGCTTTAGCGCATTAGAAAAGCGAAATTCTCGACATATATTTGAGCTGCCGGTTCGCCTAGCAGGTAAATGGGTTAATTTGTGCACTGAGCCAAATTAATGACAGCAATTCTTTGAGGCCTTTAGCTAAACTCAAGCGAGGGAACATTGTTTTTCAAAATATTTTAAACATTTTGAATATAAACAATTCAACGAAAAGCTAACATAAAGGCGCGCGAATGAACTAAATTATTTTACTAAAGCAAATATGAGATACTTTGGAATAATATGGATGTGGAATAATATATAATATTCATAGTTCTATTGTTGCAAGTTTAATGTTAAGGGATGGTTTCCAATTTTTACTTTCGTTGTGTGCTAATATATTGTCAAACCCGCAGGGTCTGTCTTTGTGTCATGTTATCTTATCTGTTTAAGTAGAGAATATAGTTAGATATAGATTGACTATATATTCTATACTTAAACTTTTAATATAGGTATATAGAAAAGAAAAAGATAACACGTTAATGTATACTTAAAATAAATTTGTATACATTTAATAAAAGTTTAAGTTTAGAATAAAGTCAATCTATAGGTACAAAGATATATAGAACGAAAAAAGATAATCTGATTAAAAGCTAACTGCTGGATAAATATAACCTAATAAGACTGTTAAAGTTTAGAGAGAAGAAAATCAATTAGTTTAATCCAGATTATGAACTATTTGCCCTAAATCAAAAGTACAGCACAAATGGGAATTCTAAGACTCTACTTCACATGAGCTTCGATTTACTTGCACACACAGCACAATGACTTGCAGCTATTTGCGTTAAAAGGCTCGCAGGATATCAGGCTTGAGTGGTTATTCGCGCCAAGTTTGTTTGCCGAGTCATCAAATTAAACTTTGTGCTACTTACAAAGTGCACACACAAAATCAAATGTCTACAGAGCGTGTTGCATACGCCCCCAAAATCCAACCCCGTCTGGAGGCTTCAAGCAAACAACACCGAGTCGACACTAGCAGCAGCAGCAGCAGCAACAACAACAACAACAGCAACAGCAACAACAACAACAAGAACAAGTACAATTATAGCAGTGACAGTAAAACCGTCAACAGTCCTCGCACCTTCACTTGACTTGCATTGTGGCCCACACGCTGGCAGCGGCAACGCGTCGTATGTGTAATATGAGGCTAACACTTGGCAAGAATCCTGCACCCGCTGGGCTTTAGGCCCTGCCGTTGCCGTTGCCTGTCTGGGCTGTGTCAGTCTTAGCCATTGAGTTGTTGTATTCTTTGCATGCTCATTTGTGTCTCCTTCAATTGTCGTTGCCAGCTGTTGTTGTTGTTGTTGTTGCTGCTGTCGTTTGCCTGAAGTGTGACAGACGCTTTGCCTCGGCGCCGGCGGCTTGTTGCTATCGTTATTGTTGTTATTTTTGTTGTTGCTGTTTCTGCTGCTGTTTACAGTAGCTTTCGGCAGCCATAAAAGTGCCTCTATATACATATGCATAACAGTTAAGGGCGGCATTAAAGTGAACTTTGATATGCAATCATATTACGCATACGCCGCGTGTCTCTGCTGAGCAATATTACGCTTGCATTAGATAATGAGCTCTGGGCACGTTAGCAGGCGCTCATATAGAGTTAAAAGCAACCCCTTACACACACTCAGACACACACACACACACACACCCGTCTAATGACATGTGTTTGACTGACATTTACGTTGAGATAAGCCGCTGGCAATAATATTTAAGCATTGCCTATGCCTGACATTTGTTTGGTCAATATTTATTTTGACTTCAGGCACGATATGCCGCTTCAGACAAACTCTCTCACACACACACACACACCTGCACTGGCATAAAATTTGCAACTACAACAGGCATTCAAATACAATTGGCCCTGTCAAGTCTGTGTTGTTGACTGAAAATTGCTTTCAGCTGCTCGTCGCTGCATCCTCGTTAGTTGCGCACAAGTACAATGAACCAGACGAGAGGACGCGGCCGGAAAAGCGAGGACAACGACGACGACGACGACGACGACAGTGGCAGAACCGGTTAAATGTTTAGTAAATATACAGAGTACAGCAAAATAGCAAAAATAGAAAAATGCGGGTACATACAAACAGTGGAAAATCGAAAGAAAATTAAGTGGCCAAAGTGCTTGCGGGTGCCCACACACACACCCACACACACACACACACATGCGGCAGTTGCCTACCAGCTTAATCTTTGAATGGGATGCTGAAACAATACACACACACACACACACACGCAGACATGTACACACACCGATTTAAGCCTTACACGTTATACGCTTCTGGCCGTCGGCACGGGCCGTAACATGTGTGACATGACTTTTGGTTTTTTTCACAACTTATTTGCTGGCAATTAGCAAAAATCAAGTAACTTTTTCTATTCAATGCACTTGCAATTTGCTGTAAAAGTCTGTTGAAACAAACAAACCGCGGGCGCGTCGTGAAAAAAGCCGACTGAAATTTTTGTTATGCTGGCTGCGTGTGAATTCTGCTCTCGAGTGGGAAGCGATGCTTCGGCAGCGACGAGTCTGAACATCGGCAGCGCCAACGCCAGCGCCGGCGCCGGCGTTCTGTTGTCGTTGTCTGGCCAATGCATTGCAGCAACAAAAATACTGGGCACGGCTCTCAGCTGTTGGCACCCACGCTACTCGTTGAGCGCGCGAGAGCGACAAAATACGGGGAAATTTTGCGTTAGGGCAATTGCATGCGGCGTCTTTAGTCGCAAATTAAGTATACGCACTGTTGCTGCCAGTTGCGGCCAGGCAAGCGGCAAGCGCCGGCTTTGGCCACATACACAACATACACATATAAGCATTTGCTTCTTTTTTCGTAGTTGTTGTTGTTGTTATTTTTGTAAAGCCATATTAAAACTAAAGTTTTTATTCATTTTTGAGGCTTTTCTGTGCACCTGTTGCGACTTCTACTGCCTTTATTGGCGCGCGCTGTTGGTCAATTGCCAGATATTGGGGGTCGGGCTTTTAAATTTTCTATTTTATGTCTAAAATACTTAGCTTAAACCTCGTGTTGTCGATCATTAATAATTTGGAATTAAGTGTAATAAATAAATAAATATTGTTAGGTAATTTTTAAGGAAAACATAATTAAAGAAATAATAAATCGAGTCACATACCGAATCCATTTTTTTTGAACCGAAGTTTGAACCAAAAAAGCTGCACATAAAATGGCTAAAAATAAAGAACAGAAAAATGTTTGCTTTTGAGACAAGTTAAGGTAATTTGACGAGGCTCGATTAAATGGCAACCCGAGCTAAAGCGACAATTAATTTTTGTTCTCGCGGACATATTTATATTTCTAGCGTTTAATTAAATAAGTGTGTAGATGTATTTCTTAGGTTGTGAAAATGTAAGAAATTGACACATTTATTTAATACATTTATTCGTTTATAAACGCTTTAGGATTTAAAAAAAAAAATTTAAGTACAAGCATATGGTAAGCATATTGTATAAATACAAATTAGGTTTCGTCAAGTTAAACAAAAACCTAAGCACATGCACAAAGCCGGCCAGAGTGCATTTTTAAATATGCTAATTAGATGTTTCTTTTTGTTTAAGGTTGCATTTGTTTGTTTGCCTTTTCTTTTCTTTTCTTTTTGCGGACAGTTGCTGCAAATATTCGATGCAGCTGTGTCGTTTCATTGTTCTCTTTAGGAAAAACATGGAAATACACGTGCTGTTGTTACAAAGGCTTTTTTATGCCTCTTCGAAATAATCTTGCAGTTGGCATATTGGCTTTTTGTTTAATGATAAAAATGTAAATTAAAAAAAAAAAACTCTATTCTATTTGCCCGAAATAAGCGATGCAAGAGTCTCTGCTTCTTATTTTTCTTTCGAATTTTGGCAACATATGGAATAATAGAAAAAGCCATGGTAGGGTATTTAGACATCGACTAACCTTTGGCCTAGCTTTACTCGTGTAATTACAATTTTGTTCAGGTCTCTTTTAGCATATTTTACTATTGTTCTCTTGTTGTGACTACATCAAAGATATAGTATATATATTATGTACTTATTTACTAGATGACATCTATATATACAGCTATATAAATATATATATATGTAAATGTAAGCAGAAAACACTTAAAGGGTATAAATTCGTATAATATTGCCGCTTACAAATATTTAGATTCGTTTGCATAGCTTAAATGGCTTTCATTAAATTGTTTTTATTTGTTTAGGTACAAGTACTCTTTTTAGACCTGGTCGAGGTCCTTTTGCAAAATTAAACAGTTAGTTTAGACATCTATAAATTTGCTGTACTTAGTCAAAATTGTAAATATGAAGTGTATGACAATATCAATTGCATTGTCATATGTATGTATTTGTACTTAAATATATGCACACAAATATTTGCATATCTGCATTTATACATTAAATTTGCATTACGATTTCAACTACTGCACAATACGATCATATGCGGCATTATTATTAGCATTTAAATAAATACATAAATATATTATTGATTCTCTTACAAATCTTAATATGCTTATCGGCCTTTAAGGCATTTCCAATTGTGACATTAATTGAATAATTTGAGTTAGGTTTCTTGATGAAATGTGACACTTTGACACAAATTAATTTCGATACATGCCGCGAACAAATGTACATAATACATGTGTACATGTCTATGTGTACGCATGGACGCATGTACGCATACGCATGTATATACGCATGTACACATGTATTGTGTACATTTGTTCTTCTCAAGTGCCTACATTGTGTGGTAGGATTAGTTTGACTTTCCCTGATAGTACGTATCAGACTCGCAAGTATCCACAAGATACAGTTTAACTTGCACCTATGCATAACTAATTAGTAGATACTTATTATCTAGACATAACGAGCACCTACTTAAGGTTTTGCTCATACGTAGCCTTAGCATATACTAAATACTCACTTAAGCATTTTACTCGGAAACATTTTCGTTAAGCTCATTTAACATGTTTTCTATCACTTCGTTGCCATGCCCATGCGCTCCATAAAGAATTTTGTTTATTGTTGTATTATGTTTGCATGGAATGGGAATATGTTGCTATATACATATAAGTATATAAATGTATATATATGTATATCTATTAGTTGGTTATAATTGCTTTGCTCAGCAGAGAAACACGACAAAAACGGCGGCTGCCATCAATGGTAAATAATACAACGGGCTGGTTTCTCATTTCGTGATTCTTTTGAATCGAAATCTAGCGCAATGTCAGGTGAAACACAATAGCTGAGCATATTTGCAAAATATTCAACTGCGACATCTTTAATATGAGCTTATTTTATTTAATTTGGAAATATTTACTCCCGACTTCCGAGTCTCCTTTAAAGGGAAAATGCGAGCTTTATTAGTTAAAGCAAGCTCTTCTAACATTAATAATTTAAACAAAAAATGAAAGTGTTCTATATTATATGTTAATTTGATTGCAAATATACAATCATAATAATAATTCGATTTTTTAAGCTCTGCTACTTATAATTCTTGTTTACGGTCATATACTATTCTACATTTGATCACGTTTTGCCCTGTCTCCCTTCCACTCTCCCCCCTCTCTCTACATAGTATTATTAATAAAAGTAGTAAAAAAATATTCATTACCTCTTTCGGCCGCCAACTAATGGATATGGTAAGTTGCTCTAGAACTTACTCTGTTCCATAGCTATGGAGGTGGAATTATTGATTTCGGCCACAACGATTATCTCGTCGTTCTCCTCCGTTTCCTCGGGCACCATCATCAGGTTATTGTTCAAAGTGTAGGGATCAGCGCGGTTCTCGCCATCGCCGGATGTGTGGCGCATGCGGTGCGTGAAGGAGCGTGTCATATAGGTGGAGCGTGTGGTGGACACGCGCCGCAAAGCGCCACGCCCATACATGAGCATACGAACCTCAACACGAAATCTGGGATGCGTAGCGGCATACAGATAGGGATCCACACAAGCGGCCGTTTTGCAAAAGAGCGCAGGTATCATGGAGCCCAGCGGCGTGATATGCTGTTCCTGGCCAAAGACGCCCATCATGGCGACAATTGCGTAGGGCGACCAGGCAATGAACCACAGGCCAATAATGGCAGCCACTATAAACGTGAGTTTCTGCTCGGTTTTGGCCTTGTCCTTGTTGGACTGTATGCGATTCGCCATGAAGACCACCTTCAGTATGTAGAAGTAGGAGTAGACAATCGAGATCAAAGGTATGCAGTAGGCGGCCACAAAGAAGAGTGCCATAAAGATGCGCGCCGGCGTCTCCTTGTTGAGATAGTCAAAGCTGCAGGTCGTCAGATAGCCCTCCGGCACATAGACAGACAGACCCACATCCAGGGCGGGCATCACGGCAAAAAGAAAACTATAGCACCAGATCAGTATGATGATCAGATAGGATCGCAGCCGCGAATAGCGGCGCAGCGGCTGCAGCGGATGCACCACCACATTATAGCGATCCAGAGCGATGGCCGTCAGTGTTCCAATGGCGCAGGTGCCGCTGAGTCCGCCCACAAATCCATAGATGCGACAGGCTGCATGTGTTGGGGCACCAGTTGGGGTAAAGAAGCGTATTTGTAATTTAGCTCGATGCACTTACCCATGTCGCCCAGGGCCGGACCCTCTTGTATGTTATTGTAGATGGCAATCGGGCACTTGATCAGCATCAGGAAATCGCATATGGCCAGATTCATGACCAGTATATTGGCCGGTGTACGCAACGATTTGCGGCTGCCAAACATGAAGATGACAAACGCATTGCCAAAGCAGCCCACCACCGAGATGAGGCAGTAAAGTCCGGCCATAATATAAAACGAGCTAGTGCCAGGTGGTTCGAATTGCAGCCAAAACGGATTCACCTTTGCTATATAGTCCAGATCGTATTTGTCGCGATAGTGTATATAGCCGGGATATGAGCTACAAACGAAACAAACAAACAAATAGAAGACTGAAAATTCGGCAAGTTTTCTTTTCAAGAGCTGTCAGCTTTATAGTTGGAGTATGCAAAGGCCAGTGAAAAATCTAACGAACTTTAAATGGTTAACTAAATGAAAAAAACGCGTGCCCAAAAATATTAGCAAGAAATCCTATCGTTTGTTACAAATGACATGTATACCCTGTAAAATGGGCAGATTTCTGCGACTTTGTAAACCTTATTTCCTTCTTTTTTTGGCTTTCTGTAACTCGAGAGGTATAAGGCTCTTAAAGAGTATATTTTTAAGTAGTTCCCAGTTAAAATTTAATTTGATACTTAAATTGTTTCTCCCAAACGTTTCATTGAAACTGAGTAAATAATGTGAAAGACACTGCGCTGGAGAAATCAGTGGAAATATAATATCTGGTTAACGACTCACTCGCCTGATTCTTACACTTTTTGCTCATATACAAATCCAACTTTAGGCGCATCAATTCTGTAGCTCTGAAGTACTCAGCGTACAACCTCACCTCAGATCTGTCTCGCTGTCATTCACAGCATGCGAATGCTTGTCATGAACTTTGGTAACATTCGCCGTGGCTGCTGTTGAAGCATTTGCAGCTGCCGCTGCCGCTGCGACTGTTGTTGTTGTTGCCGCTGCTGCTGCAACGAGCGTTGCGTTCTGGGCCGCCTCGCTGCTGTTGCTGCTGCTGCTGGTGAACATCTCGGAGAGGGCGCTTGTTATCCAGAGGCTGCCATCGTCCGATGTCAGCGTAGGAAATGTTGACATAATGGTCTCCATGTCGGCAACGACTACGGCTACGGCTACGACTCCGGCTCTTTGTGTAGGGTTTATGCCAAATTTACGAGTTTTTCTACGGGCCGAAGGTTGCTGCAGCTGATGCTGCTGCTGCTGCTGCTGCAGATAAATATTGCATGTGGCACGCTGCGTATGCGTGATGTGTGTCCGTGTCTTGTGCTAAGGACTGGCTTTGTATCCAGCTGGACCATCCGCCTTATTTAGTCATTAGCTCAATTACCGCAATTGGTGCGCCTGACTGCGGTGACCTGACATCGGCATGCTGCCTCCGGCTGTCTTCATTGGTGCTCCCGCACAACCGGTGCCAATGGATTGTTGACTTCAATCTCGGTGCAGCACTGAAAGTAGACAAATAAAAGTGTAGTTACGATTAAATGAGCTTTTCCTGATTTCATTGTACGTATCCGTGTCCGGTTTGTTTAAGTGAAAATCTATTAAAATGCAGCAGTAAACTGTGGACTTTGCAACTTCAAGCGCAGCGCGGATATTTTCCATTAGCGCTCATTAAAGCTTCTAATTTGGCATGCATTGCATTTTAATAATACAAACGGAATTTATGAACACTCGGATACGTTCTGTAAGTCCGAAACGCAACCGTGTACATTTAATATATGTACACATATATATATCAAACTTTCGCATAAATGCACTCATAACTTTTCATGGTTTAGCCCACAAGCGCAATGAATAGGAAAAGTTATTAAAAGCAGCACGAAATAGAATAACATTGTTTAAAAGCCAGGTCAACATAATTGACGCACAGTTTCCAAACAAAGTGCAACATTTCAAGCCTAAGTTAATAGAGTACTTAGGTTCAGAAATTAAATTAAGCAGCACATGACTTGAGCTTGATTAAAGCGCGCCAATAAATAAGTATGACATGGTCCTATCCAGGCACAATAATTGGGCAATATGCGAGGCATCTTCAAGCATAACGAATTAAGCATTTATTTTTTTGTTAAATAAACAATTACAGCACAGCAGTTATGCGAATCTGCAGAGAGCAAGTACATCTACTGCTGGATCCACTAGGGAGGGAATCGAGAGAATCGATAACCATTATCGCCTTGAGGCGAACCTTCAAATGGCAAGTGCCATTTGGTAGCACGTGTGCCTGTAATGCGGGTACGGCTCTGGGATTATGGAAATCGGGCAAGCGTGCGCGCATTTAATAAGACCTAGTTAATTGCTTATTAAATAACTGGCAGCCGGATCGTATCATGCTCAGAGCTGTTTGTGGGCCCCAAGTGCTGCTCAACACAAATAGTTGGAAACACAAACAGCAAGTCAAACAGAGGCTGCACTTGAAGTTGTTGGCGGCGCAGGACAACTTCTTGTTGGCAGCAACAACAACTGCAGCAGCAGCAGCAACAGCTAAGAAAACTTTCTTGAGCAACAGAAAAAAAGGCAACAGCTGTGGGGCAAGAGTCAACAATCTAGAAGTACGACAAGCCAAAGGGCATCTTGTTGCCAGGGCTGAATAAAAGGGTTTGAACCAGTTGTCCAAAAACGAAACAGAAATTGAACCCTTTTGACAAAGAAATCTTGATTTTGCTTCATTTAAATTCAAAGGCCATTGTCTTAATTTTATAATAAATGCCAGTTTCGGGTTGAGAATAAATTTAGGCCGCAATTTGTAACTCTTCTATATTCCCAGTGAACATGGTAATTCTAATTTAAATGTGAATTGTTATTTTAATAAATCAGAAACAAAGGCTTAACTAATTATGTGTAAGCAAAAATATGCTGAGAAACAAAAGTTAGAGGCAGGCAATCGGACCGAAGCATTTATATATTAGTTTTGGGCTTGCAGCCCTGCTCCAAGTCGAACTTAATTTCTAATAGTTGTGCCTTTGTTGTTGGTTAGAGAGTTGCCCCGTTTACCTCGTAATAGAAGTAGTTTTGTGGCACATAATTTGCACTAATTGGCCAATGTCAATGGCCAAAACATGGTAGTGCTATATCAAATACTAGGGCACAGGAAAGTGCTCCTTGCTTTTGGTACGCTTTTGTTGTGCCATCAAAGCGGAATTAATTTAGTGAAAATTCAAATGCTTGTAGGCCCTTTGTTAACAACGGAGGGGGGTGTGGGGTGCGTACGCGTCAACATCGACATCAGCTTTCTGTCAATGGGCCAATTAATTATGGCTATCACATGCAAAGAGGAGATAGGAATTCCAATTAAATAAGTAAAATACTGTGACGACAAAATGTACTCATTCGTTATCCGAACAGTGACAAATAAGCATCGTTTCTTACGTTATCGATACTTTGAATCTTGCGACTGCACTAAGCGCTTTAGTCGTAAGTAAATAATGGGAGTAAGCCAGAAGCTTTAGACATTAATTCTATTATAAATTCAGGGAACGACTTCACTTTGCGGCAACTCCTTGGCAAACAATGCCCGACTGTTGCAAGTGTTTGCCTTCTGCATTTGTTAAATCAATTAGCTCAATTGCATTTGTTAGCTACAACAATTGTTTTCTTGAGCCCTGGACGGCGATTCTATGGAGCATAATGCATTTCCAGTGAAATTTTCTAGGACTCGATTTTCGATAAGTTCTCGTGGCCAGCCGTAGACGCATTGATCCATTCAAATGTCGACTTTCATTCTAGTTAGGGCTTTTGTTCACGACCTTTTCAGACCAATTCCATTTAACACATTTTCTAGACAATCCTTTTTGTACGAACTGCAGGCAAGCCGGAATTGTATGTGCTTTGTACCAGTTTATTTCCGAGCTTGGCAGCAGCTGCCAAACATTTCTAAGCCATTGTATTGAGCGCATCATCTGCTATCTGAGAGAATTCAAATTATACCAGGCAGCGCACTTCGACCAATAATGGCCGGGCAATGCGCCACTCAGCTGCACTTGTAATTAAGTTACACAAGGAAATAGTTTATTTGCACCGACTTAACCGCTGCCTACGTTTTGGAGGGGGAGGGGGTGGGATGGAGGGAGCTGCCTCTAGCTTTGCTGCAACAATTAAGCGCCACTTGTGGTCCGAATTAAATAAAGTGAGTCGACGGAAATAGCAGAACGCACGCCTAAAAGCCTGCAACAGCTATTATTATTTTGTTAAGTAATATTGCAATTTCTTTTAGCTTAGTTTTCGCTCGGCTTTTCGCACGAAATTGCTTTTAAATGGAAAAACCAAAATGCAATTTAATGGCTTTACAACATTTTTTTTTGTTTTGTTAATTGAACTCCTTAATAAAAATAACAAAAGGCTTTTATTTAAATTCCTCCGTTGTGCGATATTAATAATAAAATAAAATAAAGATTAGCCCGCCAATTTCAACGAAATTTTCGCTAATGCCTGCAAAATAACAGAAGCTATGCGCAAAATAAAAAAAAAAATATAATTCTAATATTTAAAGTGAATCCGAGCTTAAAGTTTCATTTTACAAATTGCCGCATAGTTGGGCCTTGTTGAATATTCTCTTTTTGGCGCTAGGGATATTTTTTGCCGCCATTATATATATATATGTGTATTATGAATTGCTGCAAAATTGTACGAGTGAGTTTTTTGTGCTAGAACGGCTTCAAACTAACAAATTTGTAGAGTTCTGCTTGAAAAAATACGTTGATTAACGACAGGGCAACAGAGACCTGTCAGTTGTGCTAGGCTCTCGTTTCCATTAAAATACCCAGAAATATGTTTTCCAGTCTGTAGTCAAGCAAAGGCTTTAAAAAGCCAACAATTTAGTGCAACAGACAGCAGCAGAAGGCATTTGCGAGCATATTTACATAAATTCGATAAAAATCTATATTAGAATCGAGTTTTACGAGCACATCTCGGAGCCTATAGGAGCTGCAGAATGTGTGGACTCTCGTAAATCAAGCTTATCAGGCACATTTTATTTATCTAGCTAGAAAGTGTCTTGTTTTCAATTTGTTCATTCAAATGCGAACTGCATTTATATGCCGAAAGTGTAGAGATAAATATATGCATAAGTAATTTGTTGTGAAATTTTCGTTTCTGAAATCGAATTTTTTACTACCAATAATGTGTTGGTGTTAGAGGTGTTGTGTGTATCCGTGTGTAAACTGAGTTATGACAAGCTGAGCCCCAGCTAAGGTTGGCCGCATGAAATATGCCGCCTTTTGCTGTATTACAGAGCACATGAGCCCCTCAGCCCCTCAGTGCACTTCGGTTGACTACAAACTTATATTGATTTATGTTCGCGCCAGTTCTCATTTTTACTAGTTTTCACTTATGTGCGGCAATTTTTGCAGTCCTAAGCGGCAATTGCTGCTGCCAGCCAAGCGCACGAGTGATGATTTTTTTTATTTTTTTTTTGTTTTTTTGCCCACTTACACGTGTAGCTCAAGGCTGAAGGATAGAAATTTTTGTGTCGCCATCAACAGGCACTTTAAGGCCTAAATTGTGTATTCAGATACATCTGCAGCAGATGGAGGGCCAGATTAAATGGTAGCTTGTCGGAGCTTTAAGCCATGAATGTGTTACAATTGCAGTCTGGCTCAAATGTCGCAGCTTGAGTATCCTTTGCCGCTGCATACGCTGGTCAAGTGCACCCCAGGACGAGTACTCCAGGGTATAGTTGCCAGCGAAACCGCTTGAAGGCCAAACGCTCGAGAGCATTCAGCTCGTGTTCCTTTGCACAGTGCAGCCGGCCGGCCACTTATTGCCGTTTGTCTGACAGAATGCAAAGACTTGTTTACAAGAACTTGATAAATGCTACAAAGCTCGGCGTCCACTCAGGTGTGTCGGCCAAACAAAGAGCTGGCGCTGACCCCTCCATCTACTGCAAGCGGCTAGAAACTCTTATTTGAGCTTAATCTCTTGTAAATTGCGGTTGCCTTTATTTTTATGCACAAATTTCAGAGATTCAGACAAGGCAGCTAAGCCTTCAAATTGCATTCACCACGTTTGTTTAGCTTCTGTGTGCTTTATTGGATTATTAAACAATATGAGAAGAAAACGTTTAATCCGAAATACGCCACAAACAACTCCGTTGACCAGCTAAGCGAAAAGTTACGAAAAGGTTGACAAGAATGTTGTCTGATTGGCAGGACTACAAGTTATCCCAAAATAAAATTAAGTTGATGTCAACCAAACTGAATCAGAACGAAAAGTTCCGCAATCAATAATAATACAGCTGCATGAGCAAAATGTTTAATTCAAAGCTCGAAAAGGGCCCTACAACTGGAATTGATCAATTGTTATTCATATATTTTGCTGTTCTGAAACTCTAGCTATTTCATTCCTCATTCTCCAATTTTTGCTACAAGCAGAACTATTGGGAAATAAAGTGAAATATCTAGCATATTTTTATATAAATTTAATATTAAAGCTTTCCGACAATTTTATAACTCTTGTCCACGCTTTGAAATTTAAGTACGCTGTGGTTATCTTTTGAGAAAGTTTTTTACACGGCTTTTGTACACTATCTAGTTGGATTTTTATTTATGGCTTTTTCGTGTCCAGCGGCAATTTGTGTTTTAAAACTATTTACCTTTTGTCAACGGCAAACTCCAGTTGAGATTTCCCTTTGCACAGTTTGACCTAAGCGTAGCAAAAAAAGTTGCTCAACTTATAAATGGGCGCCAATGGGACGCATAATTTTGTTGTTGTTGCTGTTGTTGTTGTACAATGTTTCCTAAACAGATGCCTGAAGGATATTACTGCGAATTAATCAACAGCAACAGTGAAGTCATTTTCTTTGTATTAAGTATTTGCAGAGGCTAAAACGCGCGCGTTTAACGCGTCGTATACGCAATATATGATTTAAAATTCGCGCGAATAAGCCACACACAGGCACAGGATCATATTTTGAATTTGTGTTCGCACCGAAATCGGTTTGGTTCGACTGATAAAGGCGCCCAAAATAAATTGGCCAACACCAACACCCTGACTGAAGGCTCGCTCGCGTTCGACTGAGCCACAGCGCACAGCAGCCAGCATTTTTATCAATGAAAATTGTTGCTCAGCCTGGGCTGCATGCAGACAGCCAACTGCAAAGAGAGAGAAAGAAAGTGCTCTCTGACGAGCTCTGCTCTTAAATGTCAGACACAATGTTGGTTGTCGCTGGCTTGATAAGGATTCTGTTCGGCTGTCATCACTTTGTTATCCCCATTATCTCGCCAGCGACCCAAAGACGGCTTTCGCCTGACAGTCGCAGTTACTTAGCCTAATCCGTGAATTTGGCAGAAAAGTGTTTGAAAAAGTTATGCACATGTGAAGTAAGTCGTAGGACACACAAGCACACGATAATATATCAAAATTTGTCAAATTTATTTCAAAAGCATTTGCTGCACACACAGAATTAAGTTCCGGGAAAATTTCGGATGTCAAATTAAAGGAGAGAGCATAAAACATGCAATGAGCCAGAATTACAGCACACAGAGTATCTGATTTTTATGATGATGATATGTTCATAACTTTTCTTATGGCGCACTCCATGGGGCGCCTATTTGAGCGCCTGTGTGTGTGTGTGTGGTGTGTGTGTGTGGGCTATTCACGGATTTATTGGCAGGATTAGACTCATATGTTGGTTAATCAGGACATAGTTACTCGTATTTCATTTTAGTTTATGGCCAACACGTGCGTGCCAGCAACAGCCGCAGAGTCGTGTGGGCCGTGTCCTTTCGCCGGCTGCAATTTGCAGCTGGAAATTGCATTACACGGAATGTTGCGCGAACTTATATTATTTAAATCATTCAGTTGCGATTAATTTGAATAAATTATTATTGGACTCGATGGACTTGAAAACGGCACGTCTATCGGCACAGAACTCTTATTTTGGTTTGATTTGTGTTTCCACATCGCCGATTCAATGCCTGTCAATTGAGCAAAGCTTGCCGCAATTATCGGCTGCTGCACTTTAATTAAGGCCCGATGCAAATGCAAATAACAAAGCGCCGCACAGCCGCAAGATACCCTGTAAATAGTTTTAGCCAGCATAGATGCGCATTTGTGGCATAATTCGTTTGGTAATTTCAATTGAAGTATTTTTGATTTGCATTTTTTAATTGTTTTCTGGAATTTTGGCTTTAATTGGCATGTAGAGCACAACAGCTGCGCGTAAGCCATAAATCATACATCCCTCGTACTTGCTTATGGAAAATTTTTCAACAAATGCCCTCCTCTATCCCCCTCCCTATCCACTTCATCACTTTTAAATACATGTTATTAATGGGAGGGCAGGTCTCTCACACACTCTGTAAATGCCATAGAGGGGGTATTATTATTATTATTATTATTGTTCTAGATTGTTTGTGTTGCTCTGGCTGTTAAGCCCTTGTCCCTTGTCGCTTGTTGTTTCTGCGGCTTGTCGCTTGTCGCTTGTAATCAAAATAATGTGTAGCCAAATGCAGGCAAAGCTTAGAACAGTTAATCTGGTGCCGTATAAACGGGGCCCGACATGTCGAAAAATAAAAGTGAAAGTAAACGAACGACATCTTTACATATAAGCATTTACCTAAATTCATGTAATATATGTGGCTTGCAGGCTGTGTAATATTTTGTTTTTTTGTTTCAAGTTCTTGCATTAAGTTCAAAGCATGCAGAAAGCACTTACCCTTTGCCCTCCCCCTACAATTAACCGCACAAAGTAATTAGAGACTCTAACAACGGGAAAAGTGTGAAAACATTTCCGCAGGGAGGTTGCCCCACAATATGACAGATAAGTGTAAGTGCTTTTCTAGCAGCACATCATAAATCTATATATATATATATATAGTATATAGTATATATATATATATATATAGTCGACTGTCTGACTGACTGACGAAGTGACGTGGCAGAGCGTAGAGGGTAAGGTCTAGGACGCTTTAGAAGCATTCTTTGAGATTCAATGTAAGTCCTAATATGTGGCTTTGAAAAAGTGCTTAAGCGAATGTTGACAATTTTAGCGTCTTTATGTGAATACACAAAAAAATCTGGTGACAATTGCATTTGGAACTTAATTATATAATAATTTAATATAGTATAATATACAGATAGCTACAAATTTCCCATCTCGAACTTAACAACTTGGTCAAATCTCATCAGATTTTCACGAGGTTTGGCTTTTTGTTCATAGGAATCCCTCCAGATTAATCTGGCATTCAAAGATAAATACATATTTTTTGGTCGAAATTCATGTCAAATCTTAGCCCAAGATTCGTATATGGACATGGGTCAAAATTTCCCACCCCCATAACTCGGTCAAATCTCATCCGATTTTCAAGAGGTTTGGTTTTTTGTTAATGGGAATCCCTCCAGATTAATCTGGCATTCAAATCTGAATACATATTTTTTGGTCGAAATTCATGTCAAATCTTAGCCCAAGATTCATATAAAGACATGGGTCAAAATTTCCCACCTCCATAACTCGGTCAAATCTCATCCGATTTTCACGAGGTTTGGTTTTTTGTTCATGATTTTCCCACCAGATTAATCTGGCATTGAAATCTGAATACATATTTTTTGGTCGAAATTCATATCAAAATCTCAGCCTAAGATTCGTATATAGACATGCGTCAAAATTTCCCACCCCCATAACTCGGTCAAATCTCATCCGATTTTCAAGAGGTTTGGTTTTTTGTTAATGGAAATCCCTCTAGATTAATCTGGCTTTCAAAGATAAATACATATTTTTTGGTCGAAATTCATGTCAAATCTTAGCCCTAGATTCGTATATAGATATGGGTCAAAATTTCTCACCACCATAACTCGGTCAAATCTCATCCGATTTTCACGAGGTTTATCTTTTTGCTCATAGGAATCCCTCCAGATTAATCTGGCATTCAAGGCTAAATACATATTTTTTGGTCGAAATTCATGTCAAAATCTTAGCCCAAGATTCGTATATAGACATGGGTCAAAATTTCCCACCCCCATAACTCGGTCAAATCTCATCCGATTTTCAAGAGGTTTGGTTTTTTGTTAATGGGAATCCCTCCAGATTACTCGGGCATTCAAGGCTAAATACATATTTTTTGGTCGAAATTCATGTCAAAATCTTAGCCCAAGATTCGTATATAGACATGGGTCAAAATTTCCCACCCCCATAACTCGGTCAAATCTCATCCGATTTTCAAGAGGTTTGGTTTTTTGTTAATGGGAATCCCTCCAGATTAATCTGGCATTCAAGGCTAAATACATATTTTTTGGTCGAAATTCATGTCAAAATCTTAGCCCAAGATTCGTATATAGACATGGGTCAAAATTTCCCACCCCCATAACTCGGTCAAATCTCATCCGATTGTCAAGAGGTTTGGTTTTTTGTTAATGGGAATCCCTCCAGATTAATCTGGCATTCAAGGCTAAATACATATTTTTTGGTCGAAATTCATGTCAAAATCTTAGCCCAAGATTCGTATATAGACATGGGTCAAAATTTCCCACCCCCATAACTCGGTCAAATCTCATCCGATTTTCAAGAGGTTTGGTTTTTTGTTAATGGGAATCCCTCCAGATTAATCTGGCATTCAAATCTGAATACATATTTTTTGGTCGAAATTCATGTCAAATCTTAGCCCAAGATTCATATATAGACATGGGTCAAAATTTCCCACCCCCATAACTCGGTCAAATCTCATCCGATTTTCAAGAGGTTTGGTTTTTTGTTAATGGGAATCCCTCCAGATTAATCTGGCATTCAAATCTGAATACATATTTTTTGGTCGAAATTCATGTCAAATCTTAGCCCAAGATTCATATAGACATGGGTCAAAATTTCCCACCCCCATAACTCGGTCAAATCTCATCCGATTTTCAAGAGGTTTGGTTTTTTGTTAATGGGAATCCCTCCAGATTAATCTGGCATTCAAGGCTAAATACATATTTTTTGGTCGAAATTCATGTCAAAATCTTAGCCCAAGATTCGTATATAGACATGGGTCAAAATTTCCCACCCCCATAACTCGGTCAAATCTCATCCGATTGTCAAGAGGTTTGGTTTTTTGTTAATGGGAATCCCTCCAGATTAATCTGGCATTCAAGGCTAAATACATATTTTTTGGTCGAAATTCATGTCAAAATCTTAGCCCAAGATTCGTATATAGACATGGGTCAAATTTCCCAACCCCATAACTCGGTCAAATCTCATCCGATTTTCACGAGGTTTGGTTTTTTGTTCATGATTTTCCCACCAGATTAATCTGGCATTGAAATCTGAATACATATTTTTTGGTCGAAATTCATATCAAAATCTCAGCCTAAGATTCGTATATAGACATGCGTCAAAATTTCCCACCCCCATAACTCGGTCAAATCTCATCCGATTTTCAAGAGGTTTGGTTTTTTGTTAATGGAAATCCCTCTAGATTAATCTGGCTTTCAAAGATAAATACATATTTTTTGGTCGAAATTCATGTCAAATCTTAGCCCTAGATTCGTATATAGATATGGGTCAAAATTTCTCACCACCATAACTCGGTCAAATCTCATCCGATTTTCACGAGGTTTATCTTTTTGCTCATAGGAATCCCTCCAGATTAATCTGGCATTCAAGGCTAAATACATATTTTTTGGTCGAAATTCATGTCAAAATCTTAGCCCAAGATTCGTATATAGACATGGGTCAAAATTTCCCACCCCCATAACTCGGTCAAATCTCATCCGATTTTCAAGAGGTTTGGTTTTTTGTTAATGGGAATCCCTCCAGATTAATCTGGCATTCAAATCTGAATACATATTTTTTGGTCGAAATTCATGTCAAATCTTAGCCCAAGATTCATATAAAGACATGGGTCAAAATTTCCCACCTCCATAACTCGGTCAAATCTCATCCGATTTTCACGAGGTTTGGTTTTTTGTTCATGATTTTCCCACCAGATTAATCTGGCATTCAAATCTGAATACATATTTTTTGGTCGAAATTCATATCAAAATCTCAGCCTAAGATTCGAATATAGACATGCGTCAAAATTTCCCACCCCCATAACTCGGTCAAATCTCATCCGATTTTCAAGAGGTTTGGTTTTTTGTTAATGGGAATCCCTCCAGATTAATCTGGCATTCAAGGCTAAATACATATTTTTTGGTCGAAATTCATGTCAAAATCTTAGCCCAAGATTCGTATATAGACATGGGTCAAAATTTCCCACCCCCATAACTCGGTCAAATCTCATCCGATTTTCACGAGGTTTGGTTTTTTGTTCATGATTTTCCCACCAGATTAATCTGGCATTCAAATCTGAATACATATTTTTTGGTCGAAATTCATATCAAAATCTCAGCCTAAGATTCGAATATAGACATGCGTCAAAATTTCCCACCCCCATAACTCGGTCAAATCTCATCCGATTTTCAAGAGGTTTGGTTTTTTGTTAATGGGAATCCCTCCAGATTAATCTGGCATTCAAGGCTAAATACATATTTTTTGGTCGAAATTCATGTCAAAATCTTAGCCCAAGATTCGTATATAGACATGGGTCAAAATTTCCCACCCCCATAACTCGGTCAAATCTCATCCGATTTTCAAGAGGTTTGGTTTTTTGTTAATGGGAATCCCTCCAGATTACTCGGGCATTCAAGGCTAAATACATATTTTTTGGTCGAAATTCATGTCAAAATCTTAGCCCAAGATTCGTATATAGACATGGGTCAAAATTTCCCACCCCCATAACTCGGTCAAATCTCATCCGATTT